ACATATTCAAACTGTCGTAACTTATTTCTCAGACTTTAAGTGGCTAAAAAGTTCTACTTCTTTTTTCCTTTAGGAAACTTTTGAGTTCTAAAAATATTCTATTCCAAACATGTCTACTAAATTAATGTCATCCCAAAGTCGCAAAACAGTAAATCTGAAGTTGTAGTTTCTATGCTAGATGGAAAAACTCTAACTCTCTCTAAAGTAAAGCAATACAATAAAGATGTCAGCCATATATAATATGAGGGATTCCAGCACTTGTTTATTTCTATTGCAATATTTTAACATATTACTTGAAAATAAAACACTACTTAATCTATTAGATAGTCTATTTACAAATGAACATCTAAATTAAGCTCCGCCTAGAGCTGGCTTTGTGGTTTTAGCATTCCTTTACTGGTTACAGTTTTAGAGAACAAGCTAATCATATTAGTTAGGTGGGGCATCATATTCACTACTGCGACGTCACTACATCCTAGCAGTCAGAGGTATGACATACAGTGAGTGAAGTTTTGAAGCTTAGTTGTTAAAGTGGGGCAAAGATGATGAATGTGTCATTTAAGAATACTTTACTTACAAAGTAAACATTTATTCTGTAATAGGAAAATTTCTCTAAGAATGAAAAGATTGAGAATTGTTATAAAATAACATTTGCAAAATGCCTTTTAATCTGAAAAATAAAACCATCAAAAATGTACTGATCAATTGACCATCCAAAATACCACACAAATTCTAAGCTAGCACTGGTTCAAAAGACCACAAGAAGACAAAGACTATACTTTAATGTTTATTTCCAAGAAAATAAAATGAGTAACCTGTACTTTAATACTTATTTCCAAGAAAGTAAAGTGACTGATGGGATGACATTGAATTATTTTATGCTGGATTTGTGCACTTAGCACTCACACCTGATTTGAGTGGTAATTCAGGGTAACATCAGTTTTTCATGCTGTACTGAGTTGAATTGTCTCTCCCAAAGTTCAGCTCTACCTAGAACCCCAGAATATAACGTATTTGGAAATGGAGGTTTTTCAAATGTAATTAAGATGAGGCATACTGGATCAGGGTGAGCTTTAAACTCAATGATTGGTGTCCTTTTAAGGAGGCCATGTGAAGACAGATAGAAGCACAGAAGACAAGGAAATATGAGGAACCTGTAGAGCCTGGAGGGAAGTGTCTACAAGCCAAGGGATGGGGGCAACCAGCAAAGGTTGGAAGTGGCTGCTTTAAACCACTTGATTTGTGATGCTTTGATTTGGCAGCCTCAGGCAACTAGTACCCATGCCAAATTATATCTTCCTAAAATTACCTATATAGTTCATATGGAGACCATCTTAACACTGGTGCCTTAGAGTTTTAAACAGAGGCTGAAAGAAGTTGACCCAAGCAGGTCTCCCTCATACCTCTCTCCATTTCTGCCTACAAAATGAGGAACAGTGTTCATGTGCTGGGAATAGTTAGGCAGCCAATATCTGAAGATTTTTGACTCATTCCTAACCACAGATTAAACTAGAACTCAAATCAGAACGTATCTTCCTCTGTGGAACTAATGGTTTTCTCCTTTTATAAATCCATACATAATAACTGTACATTATTAGTAGAGAATGGTGTGATGTGTTAAGAAGTGGATGCTGGCCAGCAATCAAGGTATTTAGTATATCTGTCACCTTATACATTTATCCTTTCTTTGTGGTAAGAATACTTAAAATCCTCTTTTGTAGCTATTTGGAAATATTCAATACGATATTGTTAACACAAATCACGTTACTGTGAAAGAGATCACCAGATGACATTCTACTGGCCATCCTCTCCCCATGCTCCCACCCCCAGCTCCCCCAGCTGCTCAGTTTCTGTGAGATCAGCGGTAGACCCCACATTTGAGGGATATCACGCTGCAGCTGTCTTTCTGTGTCTGGCTCATTACACTAGTCACAATGCTGTCCAGGTTCACTCGTGTTGTTGCAAATGACAGGCACGTCATCACTATGGTAATTTTGTTCCCTCCAAATTCTAATGATGTCCTCCTGAATGCTAAACTTGTTTAAATTTAAAGCCACGACTAGGGCAAATAAAGCCCTCAGAAGTTCTTCAGTCATCTTAGGAACTTACTCTGTTTGTTTGGTTAGCTTAAAACTTCTGGTCTCAAACTTAGCTATTTAGAGTGTTACTGGATTAACAAGAATAACATAAAATGGTTCCCTGGGACTCAGCAACCTGAAAGAATTCATGGTCTTCAAAACTATGGCAGTGGTTATCACTACTGAGGACCCCATAAAACAAAAGAATTCATACCAAGCACGGGGTTTGGAGTAGTGGAAGGAGGAAATATGGATGGGCAAAGTTTTAAAAGTCTCTTCCCAAGAGCTGTTCATAACTACTTTCTCTTGTTTTAAAATTTTAATTTGTTTACTATCATCATCATCATCATCATCATTATTATTATTATTATTATTATTATTATTATTATTATTAGTGTGTGTGTGTGTGTGTGTGTGTGTGTGTGTGTGTGTGTGTGTGTGTGTGATGTGTATGTGTTTGTGGGGGATTCATGCTGTGGCATGTGTGTGGAGGTCAGAGGCAACTTTGTGGAGTTGGTTTTCTCCTTCCACTATGTGGGCTTCGGACATAAGCCCTGGCAGCAAGTGCCTTTACCTGCTGAGTCATCTCACTGGCCCTTTTCTTTTTCAGACAATCTTACTATGTAGACCAGGTTGGCTTCTAACTTGTGATCCTCCTGCCTTAGTCTCCTGAATGCTGAGGATCAAACCAAAGATCTTGCACATGCCAAGCAAGTGTTCTACCACTGAGTTATATCCCCAATCTATGCCTGTGTCTAGATTGTATTTTCTAGGCCCTTACATTCTAAAGTCAGAGGTCAAAGGACAACTTACAAGAGTTGATTATCTCCTTCCACTATGTGGGTTCCAGTGATCAAACTCAGGTCATCAAGCTTGGCAGCAAGCACCTTTACCTGTTGAGCCATCTTACCAGCTCCAGACTCATTTTAAAGATTTTATTTTTAATTATGTTTACATACATATGTCTATGTATGAGTATGTGCCTGTGAATACAGTTGCCTATAGAAGCCAGAAAAGGGTATTGAATCTCTTGGAGCTAGAGTTACAGGCAGTTGTAAGCTGTCTGATGTGGATGGTGGGAACTGAACTTGGGTCTTCTGGAAGAATAGCAAGTGCTCTCTCTCCAGCCCCTATACACATAATTTGGAACTGTTAATGAGCTCTGACTCATATACGCACTATATAAAAAGCAAAACTGGGGGAGGGGTAGATGGCTCAGTGAGTAAAGTGTGCACCATGTAAGCATTAGGGCTTGAGTTCAGATCCCCAGAATCCTTATAAAAAGCTGGGCTCAGCATTGTATCCATAACCTCAATGCTGGAGGATCCCTGCAGCTCACTGGCCAGTCCACCTAGACAAATAAAAAAGCTGCAGGTTTAGTGAGAGACCTTGTCTCAAAAAATAAGGTAGAGAGTGAGCAAAGAAGACACTCCATGTCAATCTCTGGCCTCTACATGTATGCATATGCATGTGCACATGTATTCACATAGCCTCATAAATGTTACCCCCATCCCCACACAAAGCCAAACTAACTAAGGAACTCTGATAATTAATTTAAGTTGACCAAATTTATGGAGTGAAGCCACTGTTCAATAACTATAATTATACGGTGTAAAGTTGAAACATCATGCAACATTCTTAGCTTAGCTTTTCCCACAGTGGTCCTCATCAAAATATGGCGCTACAGAATTTCAAAGTAAAAGATTTGTGCCTGAATTAGTTTGAGAAATGCTGTAAATTGCCTTTATTATGTTTAGGTATGTTCCCTGTATTCTGGATCGCTCCAAGACCTTTAAATAAATCTCAAAAGGTTTCTTCAGGACATCTTAGCACTGTTAATATAATAATGCCCATTCTGAATCCCACACTTAGCCATCAAATAACCAATCAATCAAAGTCTTTTCTCCCTTCCTGCCATAGTATTACCTAGCAGATGAAAGTTCTATAGAAAATCCTGTAAAGTTTTGCTTTAGTGTAATCTGTATTCTGTGGTGGATGAATCAAATGGTTCTATCCACCAAACAGTTCTAGGTCTTCCAAAGCAAGTTGTGTTCTCTTCTTAAGACAAAGAGCTTCCTACACAAATGACTGACATGTACTATTACCATCAGAACCATCCAAGAAGACTTTCACTGTAGAAATCAGTCAAGCTTTCTGATACTACACTGAGGGCAGGCATGGATGGTCAGTTTCTGTTTCTATTCTTTTCTTTTTCTTTTTTGGGACAGGGTCTCACTATGCAGTCTTGGCTGGCCTGGAACTCTCTATGCAGACCAGGCTGGCCTCAAAATGATAGAGATCTGCCTGCCTTAGCTTCCCAAGCACTGGGATTAAAGGCATGTGCCACCACACCTGGTTTAGCTTTTTTATTTTGTGCCCTAATCTGCTGTCAAAGAAGCCTGCCAAATTTAATGATGGACCATCCTCTTATGTTTGAAGAAGACACCAAATTTATGAATCCCAGTGTCCCAGTGATATTAACTATTCTTGTGTGTGAATATATCTAGTCCACTGCACAGAATCTCATTTTTTTATCACTTCTATATGTATGCTTGAGGAATAATGTTTTGAGGCAACAGAAAGAAATCGCTGTTAGGATTAATAGTTAATTATAATAGAAATAAAAAATACCTTGGTAAATTAGGGTTGTGCTACACTTTAACAAACTCATCACTTGCATGCACACATTATTTATAAACATAAGTACATACAATTTCCCCATTGTGGCTGCCTAGCATTGTACTTCACATATACTTTATTTTAGCTTGTAATCTATACTATATAGTTTGCCCCATTTTTCACAGATCCAAAGAAATTGAAAACGGAGTGCTAAGATAGAGATCTGCGAATCCTTATAAAGTAAAAAGGTTTGCTAACTACTAAATGTTCTCCAAACAAGAAAACTAAAAAGACAAGACTTACATCTAGCAGTGTGTGAAGATGCTGATCCTGGAAAACACTGTGTAGAAAATCTAGGTCCTTTTCACTGCAGTCTGTAAGTGCGTGGATCTCTTCCAGGCTGTCCAGCACCTGAGAGACGGCTCCTGTGGGGGGCGGGGTGAAATGGAAAAGAAACTGCTAGTACACCATCAATGTTACCCTAGCTTGCAACCTTAAGCTTGCATTTAATAACAACGAGTTTCAGAACTCAGAAGGCTTGTGTTCTTATGAAGGAGAGGCTTAAATGTGCTTCATATCATTTAAGGGCAGAATATCTTGAGTGTTTACGTTCTCAACAACGGATTTGTGTCTTTTGTTTTTGAAAGTGAACTTAAGCTTGCATATTTAAATTAAAGCACTCTGTCAACATAACTGGGCTACTATGACAGAAGATCTGGGTGTAGCAAGTTAGATATCAGCTGGACAGTAAGGGTATGAGGACCGCAAGGCATTTGCAACATTACAGAAACAACCCAGGTGGGCCTTTCACAGGAGGCATTCTATCAAGAACCAGGAGAACAGTCGACTATGGATAAGAGGCACAGACTATCAATTGAGAGCTCTCGCTCCTTAAAATAAGCTTGGATTTTTTTTTCTAGTTTTAGTTAGCAAAGACCTTAGTGAATTTATTCCTTTTAAAAATTTACATACGAAGTCAAGAGAACCAAAGTCATTCTCATTGTCTCAGGACCTTATACAGACCCCAAGACAAAGGGCTGGTAGACAAACAGGCATATACATAATAGACACATCCAAATACCACATGCAATTTTTAGGAAAGCTGTTTTGTAGGGCAAAGAGAACGGAAGTGTTATCAGTTTCCGTACATTTCCTCATGCTCAGCACACTAGGCAGGTATCATTAATGAAAGATACATATGAGCAATATTAAAATCATCTACACAGCCTTAAAGAACCAATAAACTTGTTTTACTCTACAGGCAATATGCAAACATACAGTCTATAAAAAGAACCCCAAGAGGCATCAGCACATTTGTATATACCAAGAAAGTCTAAGAATAAGTGCTCCATTCATAGTTAAGTCTTCAGATCAGTGGTCCTCAGCTGGGTGGGGGATTTGGATTTTGCTCTCCAAGGGTGCATTTCTTAGTGTCTAGGGTTATTTTGGGTTGTCACAATAGCAGAAGGGAGGGTGACTATTGGCCTGTGGTAGTAGAGGCTAGGGATGGTACTAAATATCCTCCAAAGTCTAGGACAGCACCCCACAACGAAGAGTTACTGACCCCAAATGTCAGTGCTGAGTTTGACAAAGCCTGTTTCAGACAAAAGTGGAATATTCTTTAGGAACCATTTCTAGTTCTTCTTGTCTCCGATCCCATCCGTTACAATGCACTTTTTGGTGAGAATGTAAATCAGGGTTACTCCCTAGAAGGTAATCTGGCAACACGCATCAAGAAACCTTAAGTGCTAATGTGTTTCAATTTGCTAATTTCATGTGCAAAAATCTTCCTTAGAGAGAAAAATAAGAGGATTCTGTATAAGGATATTTGTCATATAAATGGAAGATAAATCTAATAGATAATGATTATGTAAATTATAGGATGTTCACATAATGAAATATATAGCTGAATAAAAATTATTTTGGAAAAAATGTAAAGATATAGGAAAATTCTCATGATATAAACTTTAGAAAAGTAAAATACAAAACCATGTAACATATTTCCTAATTATGGTTAAAAAAACCACAGACAGACAGACAGACAGACAGACAGACACACACACACACACACACACACACACACACAGAGCAGAAAAATTAGAACTAAATACACCAGAAGTGTAACAGCAGCTCTCATTTCCCTACTTAGTTCATCCTGTTCTTGTCCATATGCCCCAAGGTTTCTACAATAGCAAAAACAAGTTGCTACCTAAGCTCCTGATTTTCATAGCACTAGCTACATTAAAATTTTCGTGTTTAAGTCACAAATCAGGTGGCTATCCACATGGAAATTACTGTGGCTATTTAAAACATTATCTTTATTGTGGGACAGTTATGGATGCAATGCACTTGTAAAAAAATGACACAAAGATCAAAGTTTATCCAGTTTCCTCCAATAGTATCATATGACAAAACCTTAGTAGATATCACAGTCAGGATGATGACATAGGTACAAGAAGCTACAAAACATCCATCCCCACAAGGCGCCTTCATGATGTCTTAGAGCCATCATTTGCCTCCTATTCTGCTCTCTCTAAGCCCTGACAACTACCAATCTGTTCTCCACTTGTATAATTTTGCCATTTTAGGGACGTGATCTAAATGAAATCCCATAGCATATACCCATTGGAGATTGGCTCTTTTTCCAAACCTAGCATACTTCTCTGCAGTCATCCAGTTTGTTCCTCTTTGCTGCTGAGTTGTAGTCCATGGTATGAATATGCCAATTTGACCATTTATTTGCTGAGAAATAACTAATGGCACTTTTGGATAATTTCTGCCTGTCAGGCTACCGAGATTTTCACCAGAAACATTAAGTAGATGTTGAATGGGAGAAAAAGGTCCAAGGTAGAAATCAGTCCTCATTGCCCCTGCTGTTCCTGAAGATGTATGGACACAATCTATTGCCTTTTACCTGCTCTCAGGATTTTTACTTTGCTCACTGGAGCAACAAACAAACAAAACTCTCAAAGAACAGTACAGCAACAACAAAACTCTGTAAAGTAGCACAAGCACAAAACCAGCTTTATCCATCCTTACTGAAGGATCTGGAAAGTTAAGAGAACATGTAGGAAAAATTAGTCCCCATGTCCCTATGAATCTCGAATTCCCTAAAGCATATCATCATTAGCAGAATTAAATGATACTGGGGTTATCAAATTGTTAAAATCAGTTCTAAAGTCCTGAACTTATGAAACTAAAACAATAAAAATATTAAGGAAATAGTCTTTTTGTATACTTAAAGTCAGCAGATAACATAAAACCTAGTTATTATTTCTGTTCACTCATTTTAGTAATTATTGTGTTAATATATATATATACACATACATATATATATACACACACACACATAGACACATACTATATAGCAGCTTACTAATAAGATTAAAACAAAATGTACTGAGTGAATACTAACATGGCCAGGCCAATGATTGGAAAGCAATTCTGTCTGTACCTGAACAGGGTATATCATTGGTTGATCTGTGAACTCCCCAAGTACCCGTGACATTCTTGTCCTGTCAGCACATTCCATGACTTACTTACTGGACATTTGTTTATTCCTTTTTTAAAAAGAGTAATAAAATCTCCAAGGCGGGTCTTTATTTATTTTATTATGCTATTTATTGTTATTATTATCTGTTATTTATTTTATAATGTCTACAAGCTGTACACTGGATTAAGTCATTTAGAATGATTAATAAACGCTGGAGAGATGGCTTGGTGGTTATGATCACCTGCTGCTCTTGCAGAGGACCCAGGCTCAATTCCTAGCTCACAATTGCCTCTAACTCCAGCTCTAGGGAGATTTGATGCCTCTGACCTCTGTGGGTACCTGTACTCACGGGATATACCCCCCTCCACACACATATAATTAAAATAATAAAAATAAGTTAAAAAGAGAATTCATAATAACAGTAGCTCCTAATTCTTTAGTTTCTATTATTTGCCAACACATAAAGGCAAACATCATTCCATCTTTCTACATAGGAGATCTGCTTTCAGAAGGTTCCAGCTAGGAAGTGATAGAACTAGTGCTCAGCTCTGGCCTTGTCTAGCTTCAAAATCTATGCTTTGCCTGACTTACTACACTAATTGGCTGTGCTAGGAAGCACAGAGGAAACTTGAACAGTTACAGTTCATGCACAGAAATGGAGGCTGGAAAAGAACTTGACCCTATTGCATTAGCCCATAACCAAGTGCCTTACTGAAGTGAAAGTTTCTCCTTTGTGCCAGGTGCTAGGGAAGGGCTTTAAGGAAAACAGAACTATGCTCTCGAGCCTCAAGGAGCTCTCGGGTTGGTGTATGCAGGAGGCAAACTACACCTTGAAGTGAATGATCCTGGGACAGGGTTGGAAAGGAAAAGGAGGATGAGTCCTTGCCTTAACCAGGGGATGTATCTGCTGATGGGGCTGCTGGATAGATGTCTTTCTGAAAACATCGAAGAAATCTGTTAGCTTGCATTCCCATGGTCTCCAATGGTCTATTAAATCTCTTTATCTGTCATTTCTGGAGTAACTCATAGTCAAAGCTTGTACACATTTAAAGTACGCTCTCTCACGAAAGGGAGCATTTCCCCAGTTGCACTCAAGTGCTCGCCTACTTACAGGTCTGAAAAAGGCCCAGAAAATTGTCTGCAATTATGTAGCATTGTTTCATTTCATTTTTCTTTCATTTTTCAAATCGAATAAATGGTTTTGCTCTAATTTTAAAATCTTTTCTTCACCTTTGGCCACTGTTTATTATTATTATTATTATTATTATTATTATTATTATTATTATTATTATTCTCAGAGCTGGGGATTGAAGCCAAGGCTACAGTCATGGCTGGCAGATACTCTTCTACTGAGCTACACTCCATCCCAAACCGTGATCATTTCAATAGCTTCTTTTTAAAGAACCTATTCTAGTCTTATTACTTGTTTATTTCTGTTTGTGCTTTGTTTTTGTTTTTGTTTTTTTGGAGACAGGGTCTCACTATATAGCCCTGGATGGCCTAGAACTTACAAGAGATCCTCTAGCTCTGCTTGTACCACTGTGGCCTGCAGTCTTGTTCTTTCTTTCTTTGGGTTTGACCAGCAGAACCACAAAATACATTTTGGGTCTGACAGATGTGTACAACTAGTATCTCTAACCAAGTACCAAGCCCATCTAAAAGGCCCACAGTTTTTCAATGAAAGAGAAAAGGTAACAAAAATAAATTAACCTGGGGCTGGAGAGGTGGCTAGTGGCTAAAGCAGTGGTTACACTTGCAGAGGACCCAGGTTTGATTCCCAGCAGCCACAGAGTGGCTCACAACCATCTGTAACTCCAGTTCTAGGGGATATGATGCTTCTTCTGATCTTCAAGGGCACCAGAAACACACGTGGTACACACACACGTGGTACACACACACTTGGTACACACACAGAGAGAGAGAGAGAGAGAGAGAGAGAGAGAGAGAGAGAGAGAGAGAGAGAGAGGCAAAACATTCAATAAAATAAAATCAATAAACCTAGTTAAAAACTAAATTGACACAAAGATTTTGGTAGGGCTTCCCTATTGTAATTGTTTCAGATTTTAAATACAGGCACTAGTGGTAATTACACACACAGACTATTAAGCTGTTACTAGTATTCATTTTATAGATCAATATTGTCATATAGGAACTAGCTATTCTTTTCAAAGATTGAAAATGATGCTTTTCCTATAAAATCCTGGAGTAAATGTCTTAAAAACTGCCTTAAAAACAGTCAATCAGCCAATAAGAAGCGGTCCCCAAGTTCTCCCTAGGAGACGGCTATCTAACGGCCCAACCGCAGGCATCTAGTTGCTTTGTATTCGGGCTGCACTTTGTAGAGTGTGTGTTTCAAAAGGACGCTTTATCAAGGACCCTTGACTAAAAGTATTTTTTTTCTAAACAAATTTTCAAGAATTTAGAGTTAAGTATTAAAATAGAAGATTTATCCATAGAAAATATTTTATTGTTTGGAGACAGAGTCTTACTGTGTAGCTCAGGCTGGCCTCAAATTCCTGATCTTCTTATCTCAGTCTCCCAAGAGATGGGCTTACAGGTATGAGCTAGCATGCCCAGATAAAAATCACAGTGGAAGTTATTTCTATACCAACACATGTATGGTAATTTATATTTTTATCCTTGCTATCTTATGTGATTTTACAGTAACCCTGTTGTGCAGGCAAATACTTTTATATTTGAAAAACAGGAGGCTCATCAGGGTTTGATAACCTATCCAAGGGCCACTCTCAGATGGGGAGCAGAGGAATGAATCCTAGTGTCCACCTGTGACTCCTGTTCCAGGGGTCCCTCTGTCACTTCAAACCACATAGTACCTCAGCAATGCACCCGATCACATGTTCAGTAATGCTGTGCTTTCCAATTTCTAGTCTCTTTTTAATCTCATTTGCATTTACCATATAAGGTTCTTTTCTAGCATTTGGTCCAAACTTTTACACTGATAAATTTACTAAAAGCAATTATATCCTGGCTTAGGATAATATTTTACACAGTTCGTTCAGTAATCAAGTGTGTTTCTAAAAATTCAGGTTGAAAATCATACACTTGAATTTTGAACATTTCTATTTTTCAAAAGAATCTCACTTCTAAAAATGTTTTTCTGAAAAGTCTTCTGTTGCTATTATGAACTAATAGTCAAAATAGCTTAAATAGTCAACTACTTTAAAAATGTTTTCTAGGCCTATGTATTTAAAGAGGAATATGTTTTTAAGGTCAACAAAAGCTTTGGATCCAGAACAGTTTTATTTCAAGAGTGGAAAAGTCTCACAAAAAATTACCAAGTAAAAATAAACCCAAAAGGACAACAGAAAAATAAACAGAATAATGTTTAAACTAAGCGGTTCTCAGCGTCAATGTAGGCTGAATCCCTCTCAAAACCTTTCCCCCCACATAGCAAACTGTGAACAATTCTAAACAGGCAGAAGGCCGACAAGCACCCAGCCCACAGAGTTGTTACCACTTGCTGTACTGCTCTATCCCATGGAGCGCCAGCTATCCATCTGGCCATTCAGTGCATTTCTCATTCATGCCAGAGTAAGCGGCCGAGTGGCTAACCCCAGTCACTTCTCTCTTAGACAGCTAACAGGTTTCTATTCTTCTCCAGACAAACTTTAAATACAGCAAAGTATACACATCTCAAGCTTGCCAGTCAATTGGCTTTGGTGTTCCAATGTTTACATGGCAGTTATTTCAAGAAAGATCTGTGTGCATTTCTCATATACATGTACAGCTATGCAACTTGCTAACACTGGCAAGTGAAGCATGTGAATGCAGCTCACTTCTGAAGGGGAAGCAATACCTTCTATTGCCTAGTTCATGAGTGGCTCATTAACACAACACTGTACTACTGTACACACACTCTCATCACCCCCAAAACAACTCCCTTGCAAACATGATACCTTTTTAAAGACAGGATTTCATTATGTAGCTCAGGCTGGCCTTGAAGTTATGATTATCAGGTCTCGTCTTCCTTGAGTGCTAGGATTTTTGGATGTGAACCCTGTCCCTGGCTAAGCAATATGTTTAAAAATTTTGTTTTGCCTGGTTTGGTGGCTGTCCTGGAACTCACTTTGTAGACCAGGCTGGCCTTTAACTCATAGAGATCTGCCTGCCTCTGCTTCTCAAGTGCTGGGATTAAAGGCATGAGACAGTAGGCATAAGTAGCAACATTTTTTGAGCACTATTTTTTCAAAGTACTTTAACAATATTCTGCTAGCCCTAAAATGCCCATTTGTGTAAAGTTTCACACAGATTGGTAAGGATGACTGATAGGATGCTCATCCTCAATTGTGATAATAGGTGTGGCTGGTTAAAAAGGATAGTGAGAGAGGAAAGAGGAAAGAGGAGAGAAGAAGGGAGGAAGCAATTGCTTGCTTGCTTGCTTTTCATTTTTTTAGCCACCAGCATGGATATATAGGTAGCCGCTGAAACCCCTAAGATCCTGTCCCCTGCTATTCCTACTGTTTGTGATCAACTCCTTCTCCTGGCATGGGGACTGAGCATATAGAATGTCACTTCTGTGGCAAAGTTAAAAAATTGTTCTCTGTCTTGGGAACACAAGGGAACAACTCTTGCCTTCTCTTTAGTCATTTGTGTTGGGGCAGCAAGCTGCCACGTTGTGAACAGCCTTGTAGACAAGGCCACAGCCAGTGAGGAAGAGAAATTTTCTACTAACCACTGGGTGAGTTTGAAAGATTTCACCTATAGTCATTGCCTTCGAAGGGGGATGGCAGCTCTGGAGTGCCATCACAAGAGATGTGGAGGCAGAGGCACTTAGCAAAGCCATGCCCCTACTTCTGATCCTCAGGTGTTGTGAGGAGGATGAGGCAATTCAGTACTCAGCCACAGACCACGTGTATATGGTGAGATTTTTCATCGGCTGCAAATTTAGCTATAAATATCAAATGCAACAAAAGTGACAATGAACCTAATTGCTAGCACTCAGATTTTCTAATTTATCTTTGTCTCTGATTTACTTTACTTTAGTAAGCATCACTTTGAGGTAAAGTTTTATTTTGCATTTTTGAGTACTGACATTGATGCAATCCATCCACTTTATCTGGACTGTCTCAGTCTTACATATGTGTGCATATTTCTTACAGATTAATTTTCTCACATATTCAGATTACATTTTTTTGCAATTAAGGTATACACATCATTACTCTTCTTTGTTATTTATTTTTTTTGAGACAGGGCCTCACTACATAGTCCAGACTGATCTCCAACTTGTGACCTTCCTGAGTCAGTCTCCTGAGTGCTGGGGTTGTACCAGTGTACCTGTATGCCTTCCAGTCACTCTGATGGTGAAGTTGTTAAAAGGCATGAGTTCAGGGCTTACTTCACAGCCCAACATTGATAAACTCAGAATGGACTCTGTATCAGCAAGAAAACCCACTTATGTGTAATGAAACTGTCAAAAGAAGACTCACTTACCCTCAAAGTTTTCTTTAAAGCCAATTTTGAAATAAAATGTTATCTTTTTTCCCCAGAATGAATATATTTGTGTTTGAAATTCACGTGTGAAATATTATTAAGTATGGTTGAAAATTTAACTCTGCCTCCTCCCCGACTTTTGAAAGAAATGAGAAATTAAGTTGAATAACAATGCCTCAGGAAATCAATATATACAAGTTCTCATTTTATGGTCAGACAGTGTTAAAATTCACATTTAAACATCTAAACACAAACAGCCACGGAAAAAGTCAAGCCAATTATGAACCATGCAAAGCCAAACACTTTTGCATAAAGATAAACCTTAGAGGAAAACAAAGGGATACCTACTTTCTGCTGCTAGAAGTCCTAGGAGGAAGGCAGCATACGGACAAAGGACAAACATGGTTTTAGAGCAAGCAGGTCATCAAGCCATAGTCGGGCCCACTACATAAGCCACAAGCACAGCCTCCCAGCCAACCCCCCTCCAAATTTCAGACATCCATTACTGAGATCTAGTTCTCAATTCTTTGCTTTGGAATATGAGAACAGACTATTTCTACTTTGAATTAAGTAACAAAGCAACAAGATACTGTTTACCATAAGATTAACCTTCATGAATCTAGTAAACGCATAATGAATGAACTTCAATAATTGAAATAGAAAAGCATTTCTCAGAAAAAAATTGTTTTACATTACGACACACTTAAACATCTCCAGTTTTCTTTGGATGGCAGGTTAGGGAGCTGATTAATTTTTAAACTGTGATTTTAAATACAGTTTTTCAAATGCATAATCATCACGATAATACATTTTAATTTAAGGAAATAACGTGCTGTATTTTGTGGGCAAGCAGCTTTAGTCACTGTCCTCAAACTTCAGATGTGGTAGAGAGAATTTTAGGAAATTTTGGGAGACAAAATTGGGATTGCCAATTATTACTTTTGTTAGGCTTATTTTTAAAAAGTGTACCTACCTATCATTTCATAAGAATAGAGAAGGTATTATGTAAGGTGGAAGACAAAGACAATCTGTGTAAAGAATGGGCAGCTGGTGAAATACTGTTCTCTGTCTTCCCAGCTCTTCGTGCCCACCCCCAGCACCACCCTACACAGAGGTTCTGAAGTCATTTCTCTCTCTTGTCTTGGGCTTGGATGCACTTGCTGGTAATCACAAAAAAATGCTTCCAGTTTTGTAGTGTAAAACAAACCCGTTCAAATTGAAACAGAAAGACAGAGGAAAGGGTGTCTTTGGGAATTTAAAATAAACAAGTATAAGGATAAACAGGGAAGACTTTGGGTTTGAAAATACTAAAAATGAGATGGAAGTAATGAAAAACAAATGTCGATGTTTTCATTTACAGAAGTGCAAAGCTCTATTTGAGTCTAGGTAAGACACACAAATGGCTTTCTGCAGCTGATGCCCCAGTGCTGGCTGCAGAGACGACACGGGTTGGCAGATGGCTGTTTGGTCAGTTGATTAGGGCAGAGTGCCTTCCTCAAAAAGGCTTAGTATTAAAAATTAATTTTAGAAATGGATGAATAATTTTTGATAGCTATGTGAAGTGTGGAGGAAAATGTTACACTTTTCTTTAAACACCTCCTTTGCTTTTGACTTCTGACTACATAAAAATTTCCTCTTCATTTAGGGAAGTGATTTACATTTAGATTTTAATTCTTCTACTTTTTGTTTGTAGCACCCAGATAGTACCACTGAAAAAATCCTTTACAGATATCTACCATGGCCATTTAAGATACACACTGCTTAGAAGATCATGAAGTTCCCAGAATTAAAGAAAGTAAAGACAAGGAGAGAGAAGAACAGAATGTAAGAGGGTGAGAATGCAGGAAAGGGAAGTCAAAACGGAATGTTTCATTGTAAACAATGAAGGTGAGACCATGCAGGTAGCCTGCAAGATGGTGACGAAGTTTTGTTGTTGTTGCTTAAAAACAAAGTACTGTACTAAAAAAACTGTTCCAACCAAACCACTTAAAGATTGTACTGAAAGAAGGGAAAACCTAGGTGATAAAACATATTTAATATAAATAAGCATGCCTATGAATATAGATAATTTCTTTCTGTAAAGAAAAAATTTCAACTCTTTCAGAAAAAGAACACTTATGGCCTCATTACATTCTCAGTGGGCAGACATAAATACTAAATAAAGGCAAATTCTGGAGATTAGGTTTACAAAGTGATTTACAAGGACTACAGTGTTTTCTAGGCCCATTTCAAAAGATGAAAGTGATAGTATAGACATTGATCACAAATCCCAAAGAGATAATTTACTCTAAATATAGTGCAAGTTGTGACTCTATCATGTCATTACAAATATGAAATAAAATCCATGCCTGGATCCACTCTCCCTAAATAGGGTCCACTGTAATCTATGCTGAAAGCCAGAAGAGAGATGTTGAAGCTCTAAAAATTGTCCAGGGGATGGGAACAAAATATAGTGGGGGAAAAAAGGGCAGAGATGACCTGATCCAGTGCATGTATATAATCACAACCATGCCCCAGCCCAGTGCACCAGAAGGGCTCAGGCACGTTCTAAGGCAGCACAAGAGGAAGCCTCTGGCCTTTCTCCCCAGTCACTTCTCTAAGATTCTGAATGTGTTTGGAAATCACCTTCACTCAAAAGAGGAAGATTCATATCCCAATTGGTAAAAGTCAAAAGGAGGAAGTACATACCTGCTGGACTGGGAAACTCAGTCCTGTCATTTTGCATATGGTCTAGGCACATACTGACTGGTACGTGCACGCATGTACATGAAGAGAGGGCAGAAGCATAATCACTGATAGACACTTCCAGATCCACCAAGGAAAAAGCACTCATATTGCTGACTGTGGGACATACTACTCATGCTGTAGGAAGGGCCTTGAGCCTGGATTCTAATGCTCATACACAAATATTAAAGAAGCCAGTTTAAATATGTAAAAGCCAAATCAGAAGGGCAAATTCAACCACATAAAAAATTGTCTCTAACAGAAGTAAAGCTGAGGCCAGATGACATATAATTCAGGAGTTAGTTAAATAAACAAGAGAGAGCCCATGCTCAACACTGTCTGGACAGCCAGGATCCGGAAGCTGGATGGCTTAGAGACCTAGTGTAGAACCAAACACTATTGACAAAAAAAAAATTCAATGAAATGATTCCTAACGCTATTCTGCGATACTCATAGATCAGTGTCTAGTCCAATTGTCATCAGAGAGACTTCACCCAGCAACTGATGGAAACAGATGCAGAGACCCACAGCCAAACATCAGGTGGAGCTCAGGGAATTCCTCACTAGAGGGGAAGGAAGGATTGTAGGAGCCAGAGGGGTCGAGGACACCAGGAGAACAGTCTACAGAATCAACTAAGCAGGCTCATAGGGGCTCACAGAGACTGAAGCTGCAATCACAGAGCCTGATGGGTCTGCGCTAGGTCCTCTCTCTCTCTCTCTCTATGCCAGAGGGGCTGTCTCTGACTCTTCTGCCTGCTCGTGGGACGTATTTCCTCCTACTGGGTTGCCTTGTCCAACCTTGATAGGAGGGTTTGTGCCTAGTCTTCTTGTGTTTTGCTATGCCTTGTTGAGTTGATATCACTGGGAGGCCTGCTCTTTTCTGAAGGGAAATGGAGGAGCATAGATCTGGGGGAGAGGAGAGGTGTGGGGGGAGGACTGCGAGGAGTGGGGGGGGAGAGGGTGTGGTAGGGATGTACTGTATAAGAGAAGAATAAATAAAAAGAGAAAAGAACTCTCATGACTCTGGATCTAAATCGGTCATTTAAATTTTTAGTGAATGGTCCTGGGAACATCTTACTGGTCAGATGTAAATGTGAGCATTTTATAGAATGATTGTGTGAGCACTAGCAGGTCCCCCCGCAAGGAGTACTTACGTATCATTCATCAAAACAGGTAACTCTTCTATGAGCTTCTTCCTTGAATACTTGCACACATGAGTTAGAGACTTTACAGAGAGAAGAACTTGGCAATTGTTTAAAGCTCACAAGACAGCTTTTCCATGGAAAGACTTAATTTCAAGCAGTGCTGTCCCCAAGTCTGATCCCATGTAGCTGACATGGGAAAATCTTACATCAGAAGGTTTTGCAGGGGGAGAAGATGATCATCAAGATCCAGTGAGTCTGATTACAACATTAGGGTAGATGACATGGAGTGTAGAGTTTGGAGTGTACAAAGGGGAAGAAGTAGTGTGGTAAAAAGAAACTGGTATAATGTTGGTTTGGGAGCATTTGGGGAGGACAACTTTGGTATTCAAATAAAGAGGAACCAGACAACGGTAGGTAGGATTTGGTGGGTGACAAAGTTCCTTAGAATCTCTTGGAGGGAGGACTTGACTAAATTCCCACAAAGATTATTCAGAATGGATGAGAAAAGATAGATACCAAGCGATTCACACAAGTGAATGAGTGAAGTTCCCAATTACCTGAGGAGGTAGGGTCTTCAGAGAAATCTGGCAACTCTTCAGGAGGGTCCCCGTAGAAGGAGTTGAATTTATGACTTGACACAGCAGCTAGTACTGCACCCTAGTGCAAAAAGATGAAAGAGTATACAATTAAAACATATGCACAAACACAAGGCATTACTTAAATGCTTATTTACCTTAAGGATTACTCAGAAAGTAAATCTGTAAGAAATATTGGCTAGGAGAGGGGGTTCTCAAAACAATTTTGGATTACTTTAGATTACTCCATATGTAGAATGAAGTGTCTGAACTAATTACATCTTGGACTTGCATATGTACCACATGGTACAAAAGACTTTGTCATAAAATGACGTGGCCAAAGGATAGTTAGTAGACTAGAAAGATGTTCGCAATAAATTATATTTTAAAAAGCTTTCAAGCCAGGTGGTGGTAGCACACGCCTTTAACCCCAGCACTTGGGAGGTAGAGGCAGGTGGATCTCTGTGAGTTCAAGGCCAGGGTGGTCTACAGAGTGAGTTCCAGGACAGGCTCCAAAGCTACACAGAAGAGACCCTGTCTTGAAAAACCAAAAGAAAAAAAAAGCTTTCAAAATAGTGCATAGTCTGATTTCTTCTTTGGAAAAAGTTAATAATTATAAAACAGTAAACATATATCAGTTTTTCATTTTTCCTCTTCTCTTTTTGTAACAATGCACTGCTCTTGTACACCAATTCTCAATCAGGCCACACATTAGAATCAACTACACGTAATTTTTGAGACTGGGTATTATGTAGCATGGATTGGCCTTGAACTTGCTATGTAGTTGGGGCTGCTCTAAACTCTTGATCCTATTGCCTCTACCTTCTCCCAAGTGCTAGTACTATATAGACATGGAATACCACACCTGGTTATCTGTGGATCCTGGAAGCCACAGAGAGGACCCACTGAACCCTAGTAGAGAAGCACTGCCATACCGAGTGCCTGGCATCTTTTAGGACTACTGTGTGGGACAGCAATGGGAGCTACTGTTTTGGTAATAGGAAAAGCCCTAAGCTGCCATGCTTGCTCTCTAGCTCTGCCCAGTTCTAGCTATGCAACCTTGCTTGAGTAGATCACTAAAACGCTCTAGGTTTTCTTGTTGTTACATGTGCGTCTATGTACATGTTTATGTGGATGTGTCAAACCTAGGCGTCATTCCTCAGGAGCCATCACTTTGTTTTTTGAGACAGTCTCTCACTGCGAACAGGGGCTTGCTGATCAGACTAGTCAGCAGGCTGTAGGCATCCTCTTGCCTCTGCCTTAGGGCTGGGAGTGTATGTTCTCATGTGGGTGCTAGGGATGAAAGTCAGGTTACTACGCTTGTGTAGGAAGCACTTTTCTGACCGAGCTCTCTCTCTCTTCCCCACTTCTCCAGGATTTCTTATCTGTAAATGGAGAATATGAAAGGGGATGTACCTTACTTTGCTGTTTAGAATTGCCAAAAGTCTTAATGTACACAAAAGTGCTCTGAAAGCTGTCGAACATTCTGGAAGTATAAATCATTACTAAGCCTACTAAAATATGGGCAGAACACGAGTGCAAATCTTTTGTTCCTCTATATAGAATTGTTCACTTAGGTGGTTTAAATATCAAATCACCAAAGTGGTCTAAGTCTATCATAGCTTCTATGTAAATTTTAACTGTTGAGCTCATGAATTTTTCTGAAAGGAAAGATAAATCTGCCATGTGTGTAGGAACTTGTTGGTAAATACATAAAAATGTTAGTGGCAATGAATTTCCACAAGGCCTACTTTTTGGAGGTCATGTTAAGTTTTTTCTCTAAATTTTAATTGAAAAATAGACTATAGAAAGTAAAGAACCAATGTTAGGCATGATGTTTCATGCCTGTGGTTGAGGCAGGAATATTTGGAGTTCCAGGCTAGCCTGGGCTACATAGCAAGACCATGTCTCAAAACAGCAGCAGTAGCAGCAACTACCACTACTAACATCATCATCCTAAAAACGATGAAAAAAGTGAAACACACACAAAATAAAACACAAGTGCTTTTGATATTGCCATTTGAGGCAACTGCCTAGATTTCCCATAGTATGGGGTTAAAATAGGGTTTTTAATGCAGAATTATACCAACCATATAGAAAAAATAGTGAATGTTGAGTTCTTCTTTCTACAGAAGCATCTTTCTTCCTTCTTTTAATTTATTCTTTGTGCTTTTCACATCATGCCTCCCGATCCCACCTATCTCCCTCCCCCATAATAAAACAAAATAAAATTTAACAGAAAAAAGAAGAAAGTGGGGGTGGGGGGAGAAAGGGAAAATCTCGTCATGGAAGCTGCAGTGTGACACAGTGAGTCATGCAGTAATCCCCTTTACCCATAAATTTTTACATGCAGGTGTTCACAGAAAAGAATCATTGGTCTGGTTTGAGGCCCCTGGTCTCTGCTACACTACTGATGCTGGGTCCTCACTGGGACTCTTCCTGGACATCTTGTTGCTTCCCTGTGTTGAGATCCTGCAGCCCTCGGTCCGAAGGACCAACCTTTGCCCCCTGCTCCAGCAGATCATAGATGGGGTGGATGTTGGGGTGGGCCAACTCATAACCCTGGTTCTGGGCCTGTAGCTGCAGCGTTGGTCAGCCCACCAGCTCTTCCCTGTCCTCACCACCAGGGTGAGCTCTCTAGCATTGCCCTGGCTAGTTCACAATTGCAGCAGTGATGAGCAAGGGGCGGGGCCTGTTCTCCTGCTTTTGCATCCTCAGGGTTTGATCTCCCACACCTACACCTCCAGGGCCAGCTCTACTGTATTGTCCAGGCAAGGTGTAGGGACCACTCTCCCTACTGCCTCTCCCTGCTGCAGCTGATAGCAGGGGCAGCTCTCCCACTCTTATGACCTCAGGGCCAGCTCTCCCACCTGCCTCAAGTGTTGATGGGCTGGGGGAGGAAAGAGGGCATCTCTCCCCCTCCCATGTCACCACATGACAGATGTAATGGGGACAGCTCTCCCATGCTCACAACATTGGGGCTGGCTCACCCACACCTCTGCCAACAGGGTATTGTACTGCCCGGGCAAGGTGCAGGGTCCATGAGTGCTGCAGTTGGTAAGGGGGAGGGTTTAGCTCCCTTGCCCACCACAGACAGCGGCATCTTTCCTTTGCCCTTACCCCCACATGGCAAACAAGGGAGTGTGGCCAGCTATCCCACTATCACAGCTACAGAAGAATCTTATTTCACTTTGCATATTATACATGGTCCCTAAAAGCTGGGTGGAATGGAATTTCTATGCATCAAATCATATTTCCCACACACCCAAATCAGAATTTTAGAGATGTTTTATTTTCCAAGTGAAGTTAACCGAGTTTCTTGGTATGTTAGTGTTAGGTTTTAAGGCTTTTCCCAACTACTTCTGTAGTTGAAGATCTTATAAACAAATACTACACCAGTACTTAAAAGAGCCTGAGAGAAAAACTGTTGTGAGACAGTAAGTTCCTGGTTCCTCTGGCCTATGGCTAGTGGTTTGGTCTATTTAGTTTTCTCAGCTCAGTGACCATACATGGTTCCACTCTCCAATGCAAGGCAATTATGTGAAATAGGAAAACAGTTTCAAAATAGCTCAGAGTCAAAGAATTTTATTATGCTCCGAGAGTCAATCTCAGTGATGGGCCATTCTAAAAGATTCATTTCATAGGTGAGAAAACAGGTCCAGCAGGCTTAGAAACCTGTTATTATTAAAGGTGTAATCCACAGTGGGCAGAACGGAGCGCCACTGACCGTTCTTCCTAATTGAAGGGTTTCTACTCGCCTAAGAGTTAACAATGATTTCTTTTTACTCGGTAAAGGGACAGATCATAAATATTTAGGCTTCGAAGGGTACATGGTTTCTTTTGCTACAACTCAACTCTGACATCAAAGCACACAAAAGCAACAACAGACCAAATGTAAATGAACATATGGCACTGATTTTCAATAACCCTTTATACCCCGAGGCCACTGTTTGCCAACTCCCACAGTACACTGTTGTGCATAGCAATGTAAACGATACCTTATATCCAGTTTTTCTGGTTTATTCAACCTCGACAAAGAAGCTTGCTCTTCACATTTACTAGGTAACTTTAGCATGTTTTAAGGATGAAACAGAATTTTAAATTAAGACTATTCAAAAGCTGTTAAGAAAAACCATGATAAAATTGCAACTTTCTGCTTTTAAAGTACTAAAACAGCATTCTTCTGCAGTTCAGGGATGCTAGAGACTGATAAGCAGGCAGAGGCAAGGTATACTTTTGTAATTTGCAAAACCAATAAAGGAAAGTCATAGAGTTGTCAGAAATCTCCCTTGCTGTGTTCTTTCCCTTTTTAAAAATACTTTGTTATTTGACAGTTTCTACATGGATTTAATATATTTAATACATTCAGGTTACAGCCATCCATCCCCCTGCATCCTCCCATTGCTTTCATCCTACTTTCTTGTTTTTTTTTTGTTTTCTGTCTGTTTTTATTTGGTGATCTCACTGGGCTTAACCACAGCTGTCTGCATAGATATGGGTGTGGAGCTGTCCACTGGAACACAGATGGCTAACTCACCCATGACTACACTAAGAAAGATAATGACTTCTCCCCAGCAACCCTGGACTGCCATTAGCTTCTCTGAGTGGGGTGTAGTCCCATGTTTAAGGGCTCCATCTTGTGCAGACTCCATGCAGGCAATCACAGTTGATGAGAGTTCATGTGTGCCTCCTTGAGGGGAGGGTCTTCCTTTCTCTCTATTAAGAGTATGGCTTGATCCTCTTAATCGAACTGCTAGGTTTCAACTCACTATAGCTGGCTATTGGAGAGAGGCTTTTAAAACAGAGTGTGGTAGATATCCCAGGCTGGTCTTGAAACCTTCCTGCCTCAGCTTCCTCAGTGCTGGAATTATAGGTATGTGGCACCATACTTGACTCAAACCGTCATTTCCTAAATTGATTGCAGTAAATTCACTCAAATATTGAATAGTGCTTCTATTTAGATAAATTTTTTTTCCTTTAAAGGCCAAACCCTATATTTATGTCCCATTATATTATGCTAAACAGAAAACACATTGAAATTAAAATTGTTATAGTAGACAGATAATTTCTGCTTACACAAAAGTCAGTAATGATAGTAATGGGGATCAAAATATTTTATCCCAAAACATACCATTTTGATGTAAGGCTTTTTTTAAATTTATGAAACATTTTTTAACTGTTTGAGAATTTCATAATGCATATATAATATATTTTGTTTCATTATAGAGAAATATGCTTTCTAGGGGTCAAAATAATTCCTGAAGCAAAGGGGATAACTTTCGGAACAGATACCCTGTTGAGCTTGTCCCTAGACTGACAAGCTCACATGTTACAGACGTCCTTTGTTTATAACTCCGTTAGTAGCTGATGCCCAAGATGGAAGGCAGCATCCCCTCTCATGCTGTTTAATTTCCACTGTCAACTTGGCTGCACTTGGAGTCCCCAAGGACACCAGGACTGGGGAAGTCTATGAGTGTTTCTAGAGAGGATTAGCTGAGGAGGGAGAGGCTCCCGAACTGTGGGCTGCACGAGCCCTTGACTAAAGAGAAAGGCAGCCGAGTACTAGCATTCATCTCTCTTGTCTTCCCGACTGTGGACACAACATGACTCCTTTCCTCACACACTTGCTGGCATGTCCCCACACACTCCAACAGCAAGCCAAAGTAAACCCGGCCTTCCCTAAGCTGTTTTGTCAGGTTTTTTTGTTGTTGTTGCAGCAATGAGACAGCAACTAACATATCACTTAAGGAGTCCACACCTCAGAGCACAGCTCCTCTTCACAGCCTACATAACACAGTCTTCTGACACATCAACAGTACATCTCCCTTTACTCAGTCTTACTTTCTCCCAGGAATAGTAGTTTACACACCTTGTATTTCTTTTGTTGGATTTATTTCTGAACATTTCATTGTTATGCTGTAGTGAATAGACATGTTTCTTAACTTCCTCTTAAGACTGTTCATTGCTCATATATTTGTGTGGATATATATATATATATCCACATATATATATATATATATATCTCCTATACTCATTATAAACTTGTTCTTTCTAATGAATTTCTTAGGATTTCCTACAATATGGAACTATGTCATCTGCTAAGCCAATTTTATTTTCTTCCCAAATGGAAGCCTTTCTTTTCTTGTCTGAATATACTACAACCCAGTTATTTCTCTTTCTAATATGTTCTAGGTGATGCCTATCTGCTGGTCCAAAAGCCTCACATGAGAAGTGTAGAGTAGTTCCCCTCTTCCTCGGTTCCAGTAACTTACAATCTTGGTATGAAAACAGTACAGGGAAAATCCCAGAAGTCAATATTTTATATGCTTTAAATGACCTTTACAATAGCATATTGCTATGACTTACTGTTAATCTTACTGTGCCTAATTTATTTACTATACTTTATCAGAGACATGTTTGTATATAAAAACAGCAGATTATATGTGATCCAAGACAGAAAGATTTTAGGCACCTAAGGGTCTTGCATGTTACATGGTGGCTATCCTACTTGAGGAAAATAGTGGCAAGGGAGTGAGTATAATTATATAAGAACTTCTTGTAGATAATGGAAAGGAAAACGATGATCAAAATAAGTGAGAAAAGTCTAAGCATAAATTTTTGGAGGAAAAATAAGAACAGAGATTATTCAGTAAACCTTTCAGTGTTTTATGCATTTTTTAAAGTTCCTAAGGGCTGGCAAGATTGCTCAGTGGGCAAAGGTGCCCGCCACTAAGCCTGAATATTTGAGCTCAATCCCGAGGACCCACACGGTGCAAGGAGGAAACTCACTCCCGGAAGTTGTCCTCCAGCCTTCACATGCCTGGCATGGCATGTGTGTTCCCTTCCCTTCAGGCACACAAAATAAATAACTAAAACTAATAAAAGTTCTGAAAGCTCTAAAAATATTAAAGTTGAATGAGTAGTAAGAATCTAAAATTGTATACAATGCTTATTCAGGAATTACAATCATTTATAGATTACTAAATCAAAGGTAGTACCATTAAAATAATAACAATAATAGTATATTAACAAAAAGCACAAAGTTAACAGTAAAAAACATCTTTGGAGCATTTACCACAGGCTGGTACTCTTCTAATTGGTGTAACAGTAACGCATTGAATCCCGCTACTCCTAGGAATTAGCAGCTACCACTCTGCATACTTTAACAGATAACGACACACATCAAGGCACAGAGACTTGAGGTCATTTGCTCAAGGCCTCCAATGAGGGAGGGTCAGATCTGGGATTCACCCACCCATCACAGTTCAAGAGCAGCTCTTCTGTACTGCTGTGTGCTTCTTACTTCTGCTACCCGTAACCAAAATTCAATAATCTGCTTTCAGCAAATTTTCTTTTTTTAATCACATCTAAGGTAGTCTTAAAAATTAGGCTGCTGTACCATTTGGGGAACTTCAATCAGTGTCTGGGGTAAAAATGAGTGGGCACCTAGCTGTTCATTTGGGGAAATAAGCTGTGGGCTGGTAGGTGTTGTAAACCAGGGAAATTACAACCTTTGTTCTAGAGGTTCATAGGAGAGGCCTAAGGAGGAGAATAAGCTCCTTGAGAGGGCAGGCGTGGCATGTGTTAACCTGGTGGCTGACAATTCTCAGGAACGCAGCCTTGCCAGAAGCTGAAAACGAGCCCACAATGATTACGCTGACGTTTCTAATTCTATGTTGCTTGGCTGGTCTTGAGACTTTAAATAGCCTGTAAAGGGATGTGGTAAATCCACATGACCCCTATTTGTTGTGATAGTTTGGCCCTGTCCGAATGAATCTTAGTCACCAGTTTGGCTATTTTTGGTCTAAGTCTGCTTCTGTGGCACCAGGGGAAGAACATGTCTCCTGTGATGGGTGAGCCCAAGCCTGAGTGAAACCTTTGTATTTGGGCAAAGGAAGGTTCAACCTTGCATAGCACAATGTTATGTGAAGCCAAAGCAGGATCAAGGATTAAAAAGATTTAGAGAAACGTTAAGAAAGAAGCACAGACACAATGTCTTTGGACAGTTGAACAGGAAGCTAACTGCTAAAGAGTTGACCAAATTTTACTTTGAATGATTAGATTTCCTTGTTTTTCATTTGACGCCTATACCAGTTTAGGTAGATGTCAAGGCAAAGATGTCAAGCCTTAAGAAACTTCGTTGGCCAGGCGGTGGTGGCGCACGTCTTTAATCCCAGGACTCAGGAGGCAGAGGCAGGCGGATCTCTGTGAGTTCAAGGCCAGCCTGGTCTACATAGTGAGTTCCAGGACAGCCATGGCTACACAGAGAAACCCTGTCTTAAAAAAAAAAAGAAACTTCTTTGGGCACTATCTCAATGATGGCATATCATTAATAACTATTTTTGCCAAGGATTTTATGAAAGCAGATAGAGAAGAGCCAGTTTGAACTCCTGACAAGAAAATTAGGAGAAAAGCTTCAATAAGAATGCTGATGTTAATAATGATATGTGAAAAGTTCTCTAGCTGTTCGGCAGCATTCACCATCCAGTAGAATCCTCTACAAGGGTGGGAATGTTTTGTATCTGTGCTGTTCAATACGGTAGCTCCTAGCCCACTGAGCACTTGAACCATGATGGTATGAATGGGAACAGGTGCTTGGCTTTTTAAATTTTAAGTAACTTAAGTTCACACAGGTACATGTGGCTAATGGATACCATTTTGGGCATTTTAGCCTTCCACGGTACTATTAAAACCTGAGGGTTTTCCCAAACATTTACATAAATCTACATCTATATAAAATCATTCATAATCTTCAAGGGGTGAAGAATAACAAATTAATAGTATTATAATTTAGGCCATCTGAAAATACTCAAGAAGCATTGTAGCTGGTAGGAGTCACATGACTAGAGACCATTATCCAATTAGCCACTTACAGAACAGACTTAACACATTCGGCACCCCAGATCAAGTAAGCATCAATCATTCCCTCTGCATCTCTGCAGCCCGGTGCTGCTGCCCCACAGCATTTCCTTCCAGAGTGGAGACCTCCACCATCGAATGCTGGGTCTTTTTCAGAAAGGTCTGAACTACAATGGCTCCCTGTGAGGGCCATTATCATTGTGCCTTTTCACTGTTTGAGGCAGAGGATATGGAGAGTGGCAAGAAAACTAACTAGGAAAAATAAAGGACAGCAGGCGATCTGCAAACATTTTCTTATAGTAGTGGGGCTTTCATTTATTGCTTTATGATGATTGTTCAACTCTAGATCCAGTGTTAACCCAGCTGCAGTTTCCAGTGAACTAAAATCACACTTAAAATTTCAAAGTCTTATTATCATTGTTAGTTTTAACATTTTGAAGCAGTGTCTGATTATGTAGTCCAGGCTGGCCTGAAACTCATGAACCTCCTGCCTCAGTTTGTTTCAGTGGCGGGATTATAGATGTATATCATGTTATATTTTCTGTCAAAATATTTATGCTTGAGAAAACGAAGCTTAGATTCATAATATAACCATACCTCTGTTATGAATTTTAAAGACAAAACAAATCAAAAATATAATGTGTCTTCTAGTTGCTAAATTTTGTTTTGATTCCGACTGAAATATTAACTTAAAATTTACTGAAATGGCAACAATTTTTAGAAATAATTTAGCTGTGGCAAACATAATGGCTGACATGAGGATGTGTCTGTAGGGAACAAAGCAGAACAAAGGCATGACCACCAACCCCATCGAGTAGGCTTTTTGGTGGTTTTTCAAATTTACCTTTAGTTTCCTCCTTGCATTGAATTTCCGCAGCTGTTCCACTGTTTCTGGAAGATGAATTTTGTAGGCATAACGATCCCGCTCCTATAAAAGAAGATTATGATCGTATACAACCACTGAAAAAAGTGAAGAAGCTTAACAGAAATTATGAAGGTCAAGTTCTTTTTTTTTTTTTTTGAAGGTCAAGTTCTTAAGTGTGAAGTTTAGATTTAACTTTAGGAAATCGGTTATTTTATTCCATATACTGATACACATTCTGAAACAAGGGCTATAAACAGTAAAATTGATGGCTAAATAGTATATCTAGCAAGAATAAAGGACTAAAGTAATAGATTATCTAATTTTTAGACATGTGGCTAAAGTTATAATGGTTGTGAAAGTATGAAGCTGTCTTTTTCTACTTATTTTTTTTTTAGCTAGCATGTGAAATAACAGATTTCATTATGACATTTTCACACATCCATATATCATTGCACTGAGGTTGTCTTCATCATGAACTGTCAGGTAAAATGAGCACTAAAAATGAAATCTATACTGACTCAGCATTCTGCACTGTCCGGAATAACTGGACATCTAACTCAGCCACTTCCCCTATGCAGGGTCTGCTTCAGCTCTTGCCCAGAAAGAAATCATTTCCTTTGTAGCAGCCTTTTAGAATTCCAAAAGAGCAATTTAGAATTTTATTTTAGAAAAATGAAACATTCCTATCTTTCACTCTGCACAAAAGTCAACTCCAAATGGATAAAAGACCTTAATGTGCGTGGCAGTGGTGGCACATGCCTTTAATCCCAGCACTCAGGAAAGCAGAGGCAGGAGGATCTCTGTGAGTTCGAGGCCAGCCTGGTCTACAGAATGAGTTCCAGGACAGGCTCCAAAGCTACACAGAGAAATCCTCTCTTGAAAAACCAAAAGACTTTAAATGTAAGACCTGAAATTCTGAAACCATTAGAGGAGAAAATAGGGAAAATACTTGAAAATATAGGCATAGGGAAGGTTTTTCTCAATAGGACTCTGGTCACTTAGGAAATAAGGTCAACAACCAACAAATGGGACCTCATGGTATTAAAAGGCTTCTGTACAGCAAAGGAAACTGTCAACTGACTGAAAAGGCAGCCTACAGAATGGGAAACAAATCTTTGCTGGCCAGACACTTGACAGAGAAGTAGTATCTGAAATAAATAAAGGATTAACAAGAATTAAGAAACAACAACTCAACAAATGGACTAATGAAATGAACAGACAGATTCCCAAAGATAAATAAATATGGTCAATAAATATTGTGAAAAAATGCTCAACCTCACTCGCCATTCGAGAAATTCAAGCCAGAACTAGCCAGAATGGCAGGCACTAAGCAAACAATTAACAAATGTTGGGGTACTATTTACTGAGAGAGTGTTTGAAATAGAGCAAGTAACCAGCACCAAAGTTTAAGGAGTGAGAATGTGCGGAAATTCTGATAAAGAGCAAGCAGATGAATACATGCAGTGACGGGACAGTGGAGACAGATCAGATGGGAGGGATGATGAGGATGGGGCAGGCTAGGCTGGCTTTATTATGAGAGGGCAGGGACACAGGTGCTTGCTGCCAAGCCTCATGACTTGAGTTTGATCCCCAGAACCCACATGGAAGAAATTGAGAACCCACTCCAGAAGTATCCTCTGACCCCTCCCCCCAATGTGTGTCATGGCACACCATTCAAATAAATAAATAAATGTAAAAAAACCTTACATATGAAATTCAGTCACTGTATGAATACACACCTAATTTCTCTAAGGAACAGACAGAATGGCTGGCCATGTGACTGGGCTGTTAAACTTTTTAAGAGGTGGTCAAATGTACCCTTTACATTCCCAGTAACAGCATGAGTTCTAGTTGCTCTATATCTTTGTCAACACTAGGTGTGGTTAGTCATTATTCATTTTTTGTTTATATTTATTTAACATGTATGAGTGTTTTGCCTGCATGTTTGTATATGCATCATGTGTGTGCAGTGCCTGTGGAGGTCAGAAGATGGCATCAGATTCTCTGGAACTGGAGTTACAGATCACTGTGAGCCACCATGTGGGTGCTGGGAATTGAACCCGAGCCCTCTGGAACAGCAGCCAGTGCTCTTAACTGCTGAGCTCTCTGTCTAGCCCCAATAATTTTTGTTTTAGCCATTCTAACACAAGTGTACAGGGATTTCACTGTGGCATTATTTAGATTCCCCTAATGACTAATAATGTTGAGGAGCTTTGGCTGTGCTTACCAGGCATCTCAGTGTATCTTTGTAAAAAAGTCTGCTCAAGTTTTTTTCCCATTTTAGATTAGATTTTATGCTTTCTTATGGAGTTTTGAGAATTTGTTACATTCTTTAGATTAAGACCTTTATCGGGTACATAATTTGGAAGGATTTATTCTCAGTTTACAGTTTGTTTTTCATTCTCTTAATACTGTCTCTCAAATAATAGAAGCTTTTAGTTCTGCATACATTTTGCAGGTAGAACAGAATGCTCTGACAGACTGAACATGGGTAGTTCGAGGAAGAGGACACCATTACGCACCACAATTTTGAGCATGAGTAACTGAAGTCTGAGTCCAACTGTACCTTGAAAGATGCATGTCTTGTTTGAATACATGGCAACAAATGGGGTTTACGGTTGATTTTGAAAACACTTCCTACCTAATAGCATAAACGTATTCCCTAAAGTGTTAGGTATTGGCAATAAGGACAATGAAATGACTGCCTAGCGGTGAGTGGTGAGACAGAGCGAGCACATTTCATCACGTGCTTCTGCTGAGTAAAACCCCAGCTAGGTTACTTGATGGGGCGGCTAGAAGACCGAAAGCTGGAGACAGGCAGGTAGACATTCTAGGGATCCAGGAGAAAGCTTAGGCTGATATTGCTGCTACTGTCTTTGTCCTATTTTACTTTACCTTTGATTCCTGCCATATCCTAGCCTAGGTATAAGGCTGCAGCCCAAAAAGTCAAAGGACAAATAACACTGACCAAATGATCCCCGAGAAAAGCCCATGGAGAAGAGGCTATCTGTACAGGACAGAACCTTGGGGCTATTTCGCAGCCAGGCTCTGTCTTCCTTTCATACTAGGAAGTTTACTACAACTGTGACCCTGAACTCTGTCTGTACTTAATCCTACAGTTGTTGGGATGGATATTCATTGCAAGTATCGGTAATCAGATATATAAAGATATTAAACAGGAGCAAGTCAGCAACTACAAGGCATTCATATGTCACTTGGTTTAATACTCAGATTCTTTGTCCACATGGAATAAATAAGAAAGACCATTTTTTTAACCAAAGAAATAATTCTTTTGCTCTTATTTTTGACTCAAAACAATGATACTTTTGACTTTGGACACCCTTTATTACAAGAATTTTCATCATTCTTTTCTTTACTTTTACTTATTGAGGGCATTTTCATTAAGCCTTGGCTTACATTTTAGTCATCCTAAACCAACATAACTTACATCCACTGTAATGAGACACATATATACATGAACAAGGGCTAAATGTAAGATAAAGTTGTTCCTTCCAGATAGATAAGCTCCTCACTAATGGACTTCTTTATCTCCAGATGACACATAAGCCATGAGAATAACCAGTAGTTCAAACATGGCAAGTGACTCTGAGTTTAGCTTTCCAGATTTTTCCTTTTATGTTAATGACATTTTAAAACATTTCGGAGCCAGAAATCCATTTTGTATGGAGCTCAGACTACTTAAGATGAGAACTATAATCATTGGTAGAGACAAGAATTTCCAGAAAGAAATATGTTATTAACCAAGATAAGCTTTGATAATGAAAGTCACTGTAACTGTATAATGCTAAGACATTTTTTAAAGCTTCTTAAAAATGACTTAAACAGCTGCTATTGTCCTTATTTGGCATTAAAAGTAACTTCTAAATGACAAAAGAGAAGCAAAGAAAGAGTAGGAATCTTCTAAGGTGTTCATTTGATATCAGGAAGAAAAAATACTAAATATTTTATTAAATATTAAAGAATTGATTCTTTGCTGGGAAAATCAGAAATATTAGTATTAAAATATCAAAAGGTTGAATACATATTTCAAAAGTAATATTCTTTTTAATGTTACTGGGACTATACTCTGGATTTTATGCATGCTAGGAAAGTGCTCTATCGTTGAATAATAACCCTCAGTGAAGAAGTAATATTTCCAAGGAGAATCAAGATTCACTGAAATGCCAAAATTGCCTATAATATTATTCCATGTCATCACCACTAGGAATACATATTAATCAATATTTTTATATATCTTAGTATCTTGCATAAGCTCGGAGGAAGCAGCACGGTACAATAGCAGCCAGGGAAGATTTTACCAAGCAACTGGTATCTAACTAAGGATCTGAAGATGGTGAGGGAACAAACCCCGAAGTGCTCTAGAGGAAGAATTATTCTAGGCAAAGGGTATGACTAATACAGGAGAGTTGAGGCAACGATGTATCTGTGGTCTGAGGATCAGCAAGGAGGCCAGAATGATAGAAACCGAGGCTCGGGAGACTAGGACAGGGTAAGATCAGAAAGGTATCAGGAGACCCAGTTAGATAGCAGGTCAAGGGAGAATACCTCAGGAGAGAGGCCTAGATTCAGGCCTCATCATGTGCACACACTTAAAGGCAGTAAAACTCAACGAGGTCTTCCAGGTACAGAGTGAGATGCAGAAGAAGACGAGGAGCAAGGATGGAGGCCAGTCAGTGGCACAGCCACGTGATATGGTAGGTAAGGAAACGAGGACCAATCAGCAAGATCTGAGGAGAAACAGCCAGACAAGCAGAAGGGAAACAGAGGGCAGATATCCTGGGAGCCAAGGGAAGAAAAGGTTCAGGAGATGGAACTTTGTCAACAGACCGATAAGGTCCGGCCCTGGGATTGAAGGTTAGTAGTGACTAGACAAGAGCTGTTTTTCTTTTGAGGTTTTGAGATTCTGGGGTTCAAACGAAGGGCCTTGCCCACGCTAGGCAAGTACTCTACTGAGCCATACCCATTGCCAATAAGAGCTGTTTTAGTGGGGTTGGCAGCATTGAGATCCTGACTGGTATGAGTTCAAGAGAAAGGTATGGCAGAAATTGGAGAAATGGGTACATATAATTCTTATTAGTTTTGCAATTGAGTGAACCAGGGATTGGGGGCAGAAGCTGGAAGAGTTTGTAGGAGCAAGAGAAGGCAGATATGCATGCATACATGTAAATGTAAACAATAAAAACCAATCATAACACATTAGACCCCAAAGGTCCAGAAACCTGATAATGTGGGAAAGAAGGAAGTGGCTGGAGCAATGCCATCTAATTAGTGAAAGGGACAGGATACAGAACATGAATGATGGGTTGTGGTAGGCTGAACTAAATAAAGTCTTGCTTCTAGCAGTGACAACATCTGTGACTGAGGGCAAAATTCTGAACCTCTCTGAGGATGTATTCTTTCTTATAAAGCAAGAATTTCCTGGAATTACAGCACAATGTTTTAATGAAACAATACTATTTCCTGATGTCTAAAGATATGATTTTCCTTAATCCAGAAAAATGGGATACGAAAACGCTTGAAATGTGTCTTTCCCCTAAAACAGTAAATCTATACCTAGTGCCTACTGAAAACCAGTGAAGTCCTACAGAGTACAGAGTTGCACCCACAACAAAGATAATATAAGATAACATGGTTACTTCAGCTGTTCCTTTTCATCTTTGGTACACGTGTTGCCAGACAACAGCCCATCTTCACTCACAGATTCTGTCTCAACCTGCTTTTGTGCCCTGTCCAACAGCTGAATATCTTACATGTCTTGGACAGGGTGCAAGGCAGCAAGCAAGATGGACAAAAGTGAGGGAAAGGCTGAGAAACAAGCCAAGAGTGAAAAGGTCCATCTTCCAGGGTGGTGCACTGTGGCTGCCGCTAGCCTTTAAGTACAGAGGGGATGGGTGACCCGTGAGTGCAGGTACCTTAAGCCATGGGTGATTCAGCGCCTCATAAACAGTGATCCTTTCAGCGGGATCCAGCATCAGCATGCGGCGTACTAGGTCTTTGGCACTTTCAGAGATATGGCTCCACTGCCTTGGATTCATCTGAGGAGGGAACAAGGAAAGCTCCACAGTTATCTTCAAGAAGTCAACGCTTACCATTATTTAATATTCTATAATCTACCCTACTTCAATGTAACAGTCTCAGAGCAAATAACAGATTGGAAGACCTGTTTTCTGAGCATATGCAATGCTTTGTGATTTTTTTCTCTTCATTATATGAGGGTTTGTATCAGCAATTATTCTGCTGGTGCTGCTACATTGTAATATTTTCAATATTTAAAAGGTAGAATGCCCATGATTCTGGTTTCTAGTTTTTAATTTTGATCTAAAAAGGGTACAATACACTGATCTACAAAGTACTGAAATAAATTTGAAATGAAAAAAATTAAAGAAAGATTCTTTTTTGGAGATAAGGTTTCCCTAAGCCCAGGATGGACCAGAACTCACTCTGTAGCCTGGGCTGACCTTGAACTGCTAGTTGCTTCTGCTGTAGGCTCTTGAGTGCAGGCATTACAGATCTGTCCCACCACACCCGGCTAAATAAAGTTTTAAAAGCGATGTCTGCAAATACTGGGATCAGGTGCTGAGTGTGGTATTCACCACTACAATCTTAGCAACTGGGAGGCTAAGGCAAGGGAATTGTGAGTTTGAGGTCAGCCTAGGTTGGATAGAAATTCTGAGAGAGAGAGAGAGAGAGAGAGAGAGAGAGAGAGAGAGAGAGAGAGAGAGAGAGAGAGAAAGAGAGAGGAGGAGAAAAGAAAGATGCATACATAAGCTCTACAACAAAATTGGGGAGCAACATTAATTGTGAAGCTATGAAGATTCATTAATTGGATATTATGATCACAGTATTCAAAATCTAAGGAAAAAATACTATCATCATAACCCTGTAAAATAGCCAATTCCACTAGTATACTCTATTCAGTGAAGTCACTTCTTTCTTTTAGAGATGAGACAACCAATTCATGTGGTAAAATTGAATAAAACCAAACAGTAAGAATTACGAGTTTTCTAAAAGTCTTCTGATAATGGCTGTGAACCTTTGAGGCAAAAACTGGAAGGCTCCTGGGGAAGGGGATATATCTAAGCCCAGCAATGAGAAAAACATTCAAGGATCGTGCTCAGAGCTTGGAGTTGGGAAGGGAAGTGGGAACAGGAGGTAGTGACGGAGGTGGATCTTATTCCCAGTTCAACACCAGGAAGCTGCCTGATTGAATGACCATATGGAAGCCGCTTGATGCCAGGTGCTTCATGTAGTATTGCAGCTTTTGTAACTGTTGCTGTTGTTTTTCAGTGTGGGAGACAGAACCCTGGTCTTCACACATGCAAGGCCAAGTGCTCTGCTAAGGAGCTACATCTCTGGCCTTAACCAGTAGAGATCTATGGCACCTCTTAAGAGAAAATGATGGGGAATGAATACAGCGATTTAAAGCCAAATGAAATCACAGTACTTGCATCATAGCATAAAGGAATCATTCCAATTTGGCCAAGGGCTAGCAATAGATGCCAAGCTTTGGCTCAGATGAGGCTTTGAACTTACAGATGGGGAGGGAAAAGCATCTTCATGCTAGGGAGAGCTCTTAATTGGAGGATGTTCTATATTCCTCTTCTTAGAGGCAAAATTACAAAAGCAACCACTTTCATTTGTTGAATTTTGTGACATAACTGGCATAAGACTGCCTCAATATTGTCATCCTATTGGAATTGTGGTCAATGGACATGTTTGAAAGTGGTGACTAATTAGGCAGGGCCTAGATGGTTATGTTCCCTTTCCTTTTTTTCCCCCAACTTGACACAGGCTAGATTTATTTGGGAAGGGGAAGCTCAATTGAAAAAATGCCTCCATCAGATTAGCTGTAGGTAAGTCTGTAGGGATTTTCTTGATTAATGATTGATGTGGGAGGGGAGGGCCCAGGCCACATCCCGTGGTCCTGAGTTGTATAAAAAAGCAGACTGAGTTAGCCACGTGACACAAGCCCATAAGCAACACTCCTCCATGGTGTCTGCTTCACTTCCTGCCTCCAAGTTCCTGTGTTGGCTTCCCCCCACTGATGGACTGTAACCTGTAAGGCAAATAAACCCTTTCCCCCACAACTTGCTGATGGTCATGGTATTTTATCACAATAGTCAAAAACTAAGACACCCTTCTTCCCTATCTTGGGGCTCATGTGATCTTCAAAATCTGATTTTTTTTCTTGGCAAATGAAAAGATCTGAAAGTGGTGGCTATGAATTTTGAAGAAATGGTTTGGAATGGTAATTCCCTGCTCTTTTTATGAGGACATCCAGCACTGACAACACAGTCCTTCAGCTGGCAAAATTAGATAAAACTGAGTTATCGGGGCAAAACAACTGGGTTAGAAAACAGGCATTGCTTTGAAATGCTAGCATGTACTCCAGTTAATAGTATTCTCTGACATCTACCTTAAAAGAGCAAGCAAGGGGAGAGTGATGGCATGTGAGGAGAAGGACAAATCCTGAGTGTTTTCTCTCCTACACAGAAGCTAGATTTAAAACAATGACATGCCAGGAAAGCAAAAGGGGGGCTATTAGGAGGAAGGGGACCAGAGGGAGGGAGGAGGAGGGACAAGGATGGGTAATGGAGGAGCAAATGTGAGCAAATTATGTATTATATATGTACAAAAATCTCATACGGAAACCCACTGTTTTGTATACTAGCAAAAAATTAATAAGAAAATAGAAAAAAGGATCAAGCAAGTCAGCAAATGAGAATGAGGTCTAAGCCCAATCACTTAAGAGTAGCAGGAACAGCTCCCAACTGAGCTATACTACACTTAGAAGATGTCATAGAGCTTTTCTGACAGATGTCTAAGATCAGGGTTTTACTGCTTCTTTTGCTAAGTACCATCAGGGTGTCAAAGCGATTTTTGTTTTTGAGATGTTTTGGAATAACCTAAAAGTCTGTGAGACGCAGAATAGGACTGCAATGTATTACTTATTGAAGCTGAGGGCTCTCCCTATCCTTGTGTGACTGATTATTTCCATTATTTCCATACCAAAGAAGCAGCAGTGCATATTGATAGAATCGTATCACAGTATGTAAAAAAAATAATGACAAGGTCCATGAAGTTCACAGAGGTGGCAGAAATGGACCTATACTTTAAACTGCTGGTGAAAACCTGGGCCTTTTGTAAAGGAAGCCGTGAAGACAAACAAGAAGTGAGATTAGCCAAATAAGTGGGAAATACACTGTAAGGTGCAAAGCTTCAAGTATTTAAAGCATTGAATACTTATTTCTATGCCTTGGTACAGAAATTATGGTATAGCTGCTACCTTATCACTTCCTATAATATTGCCACCATTCGCTAGGAATAGGAAACTTTAAAATAACTTAATTTTTCGACAGTATAAAAAGTACAAATTCCTTACCAAGGCATAAAAATAAGTATTCATGCTTTAAAAATAGACAAAGTCAAATACCAGACGCTGTTGGAATGAAGCACATTGCCTTGGAAACGAGGAAGTTAGCAACTGAACAAATACAAAGGAAGAATTCTATTATTAGCAAATGCTTATAACTCAAAAAGGCAGGTGGGAGATTTTATTATATGGTAAGTACGCCATCAGCTGCTGAGAAGATTTGGTGAAGTGCCCAGGGCAGTTCTGGGTGCATATGAAGTGCTACATCTCAGCTGCTATCATTGCTGTTATTCTTATTAACCTGGTACTTGCCTTTGTTTATTTCTTTTTGGTGTTTTTGAGACAGAGCCTCATATAGCCTTGGCTAGTCTGGAGCTTTCTATGTAGATGAGGCTAGCCTCAAACTCATAGAGGTCCTCTTGCCTCAGACTCCCAAGTGCTGGGGTTAAAGGCATCACCACCATGCCTGGCCCTTGGTGTATTTTCTACTGAGTTTCTTCTATAATTTCATTTGATTTGGTAACATTCAACCAGAAAGCCCAGTCTATGTATTTCTGACAACTGCTTACAATCTCCAAGGATTGGAGAGCAACGACTAATAAGCAACCTCCTAGAGTATTCAGTTACCTTGAAAGTAGTACTTTTATTTACTAGTGGTTAATTGACTCTAAGGGAAGCAGAAAAAGATGTATGTACAACTTCTTCCTGTTTCAGAAGGATACTGTGTGCTCTTAGGAGCTGACAGTGCACAGGCAAACAAAGGAAATTCTTCACCGTTTTCACCGCCATGTGCTTTAATTATAGTTTGAAGGATGAGGTTGCGACTCTGAAACTACTTTCCCACATTATGGGCTAGAAAGATGGCTCAGCTGTTACGAGTGAGTAGTGCTGTTGCCGAGAACCTGCACTCAATTCCCAGCTTCCACAGGAGGCTCCTAACAGCCACCTGCAGCTCCAGTGGCTGAGATCTGATGTCTCTGGCCTCCACTGGCACTTGCTCTCTGGTGCACATACCCGCCCCCCGCCCCAAACTCATACATACACATAATTGAAAATCGAACAAATCTTTAAAAATTATAACATTACTGACAAAATGAAAAGAAAATGTTAGTGGCCTCAGTTTGGGAGTATGGTGTTACATAAACTTGTATTTGGTCTTATGTTACCAGGCATGGCACAAAATGAAGCAATTGATTCAGCTGAATAGAAAATACAAGCTTCAGTGACAATGGGAAAAATTCCTCAACATTAAGTGCCTTGACCAGAGACATACATACGCTCACAGTTTCAGATCCTACCAGCTACATGTGTTGGAATATGGCTAGAAACGTAGGAAGAATTGGGACTGTGAAGGGGCTTTCAGCTTACTTATCTCTGAGACTCCTTAGGTCTTTTTTGATCTAGCCCTCCACAATGTCAATAATAGCATTATTTTTTTTTTTAAAATAATGAAATCGGTAATCTGGTAGTTACAAGGCAATGATAACATTTGAGGCTTTCAATGCATAGTAGCTCCAGAATGTGACTGTTTAAGTCATATCAAAATGCCTCTAAACTGGGGCTGAAGAGATGGCTTAGCTCTTCTGGAGGACCTGAGTTTGGGTCCCAGCATCCACACTGGTGGCTCATCACTGCCTGTAACTCTAGCTCCAGGGGATTCAACACCTCTCTGGCCTCTGCAGGCACCTGCATTCACATACACGAAATAAAGTAATAAAAAGACATTCTTTAGAGAAAATACCTCTGAATTGTTATCATGAAACATGGTTGTGATGTTCACATGTCAGTTTACTCTATAATATAAAGACATTTTTCTGCTACATTGGTGGAAATTTAAAACTAGGATAAGAAATGATTTAAAGTACCTGAGTGAAATTTCCATTTGAATGTTATAAATTAAGAAAAAGCTTTAGGAATAAAGGCCTTTTCTTAACTATATAAAAAAGGCCCATAGAAGTCTGCTTCTCATTGAGTTCAACTCATGGTGACTCAAACTTATCCAGACCTCTCTGTGCTCCACAAGACTACTGGGTCCCTGATGTCAACACAGATCTTTGCTATGGTGGGGTGGGTACCTAGGTGACAGTCAGGTGGTGAGCAAAGACACACAGTAGCTTCAAAACAACACCTTTTGGAGTCTTTTAAATCTGAATGGAAAATAAAAACCATAATCCATACCTTATATTTTCCTTTAATAATGCCTTCAAACAATCTTTCCTTGGTTCCGTAGAAAGGCAAACAGCCACTGAGCAGGATGAAAAGGATCACGCCACAGCCCCAGACATCGACAGGCTTTCCGTAAGGCTCTCTCTTGACTACTTCTGGGGCCATAAAGTGAGGTGTTCCAACTCGTCCTAGATTTAAAACAACAACATTATGGAAAACTGGTTTTATAAAATGAAGTTTTTTTTCCTACTTGAAACCTGAAAATAAAAAAGCAATATCGGATGGGCGATGGCCCAGCACTTGGGAGGCAGAGGCAGGGGGGTCTCTGAATTCAAGGGCAGCCTGGTCTACAAAGTGAGTCCCAGGACAGCCAGGGCTATACAGAAAAGTCCAGTCTACAAACAAACAAACAAACAAACAACAACAAAAACCAATATCAGTCTGAATGAAAAATTTACCAATATCAATGTTTTTCTACCACTTTTTTCCCCTTATAAAAGGAATTCATGGGAGGAAAAAATAGTTTATCTGACCACTTTTTGAAAACACTGGTCTAGAACAGGACCCTGGTACTCTTCTCTGAATTCTGCATGTTATAAGTAGGTCTTTTATTTCTTGCTTCTTCAAGGAGTTTAAACGTTCTAATTTAGAGTGGGGGCAGGGGAAGAGTGAGTTGACTGAGCCTGCACCTGTTGGGGAAGAGGTGGAAGGCTCACTTGGATAGGGTCAGGGTCAGGGAGAGGGTATAAGTGAGCAAAAATTTGATGGCAAAACGGTTACTTTTAATTTATTAGGTTGATTGTAGCAGTTCTCAGTGGCTACTGGAGTGGGAATTAGCTCACTCCTAATGTTAACATTTGAAGAGAATTGAGAGCAAACAGACGTCGTACACTAAAGCAAAATCAGGAACTCCCTCCCATGCAATCCTCCTGTGTTTGTTGTTGTTTTTCGAGACAGGGTTCCTCTGTGTAATGACCTTGGCAGCCCTGGAACTCTTTTTTTTTTTTTTTTTTTTTTTTGGTTTTTCGATACAGGGTTTCTCTGTGTAGCTTTGGTGCCTGTCCTGGAACTTGCTCTGTAGACCAGGCTGGCCTCGAACTCACAGAGATCCGCCTGGCTCTGCCTCCCGAGTGCTGGGATTAAAGGCGTGCGCCACCACCGCCTGTCCTGGAACTCTCTTTGTAGACCAGATTGGCCTCGAACTCACTGAGATCTGCCTGCCTCTGCCTCCCAAGTGCTGGGATCAAAGGCATACATACCTGGCTTATAGGAGTTGAGTGTCAAAGTACCATCCGACTCTTGGACTCTCATCTTCTTTAAACAATTTTCCTTTTTCCTCCCTCTGGTACCAGCTGCTTGCACATTATAAGCATCTTTAAGTGAGTACCCTCAAGACAGTCTTTTCCTTTCTGGAGGAGTAAAAGGCTTAAACTCTAGGGAAAGGCCTTCAGGGGCGAGCCACTGCCTACCAGACTTGGCAGCTCTTTTACATTTGGCAGGCCCAGCCCTGCCTTCCTTCCTCTGTCTGTTGGTTTATCCGCCTGTCTCTTCTTATGCTGAATCCAAGATCATCTTTACTTTGAAGATTGCAAAAGACTTTATCTCACTGTGGTCCAGAGCCTAAGAAATCTGTTAGCCCATCTACAGAGAATATATCGCAAAGGCCTGTTTGGTGGTTATCAAACTCAGCTGGGATGGAGAGGGCTAAGGAGCTCCGCTGCAGATCATTCTGGTTTCCCTTCCATTCCTCATAATGGAAGAGATTAAGCTCAGGGCTCCAACAGGGAAAATACTTTCTCTTAAAAGGTACAACAAAAACTCAGTACCGACTACAAGGATCTGACGAGAGAAACAGTTTTTATTTCTGGATTGTCTGATTTGCTTTCTCAAGCAGCATAAAGGAGCTGAAGTATTGGGAGCTGAACTTTCTGGTTCATTGGCAGCTTCCATAAGGCAGAGTCCCAGGATAATAAACATTGTTCTGATGGACAGGGCAGAAGCTGGCAGAAGTAGGGAAAAGCAGGGCTGAGAGCTCAGGGTATCATTTGAAACACTGCTCCCAGGACCCGTCTGGTACCTGCTGAAAAGTTCACATGGTACTTTGACACTCAACTCCTACGACTTCAGGTAGAGTGACTCATTGTGTGTGTGTGGGGGCTTTTTGTAGGGAATAATCCAAAGCACCACAGTTTAAGTCCAGCCATCTATCTAGACTGAAGACTGCCGCCTGCACTATGGAGGAATTAGTGCTCTTTCTTTGGGAGGAGTTTGCTCAGAGATAGCAGAGACTTTTCAATTTCAAGTACATTAGTATGAAAACTTCACCAAACTCCTTGCCTTTGCTACTATTTTCATTTTTTTTTTTTTGTGACCACTTGACTTTTATCACAAAATTCTAAGAACAGGAAACCAATTACCAAACCAAACATAGAACTGTTTGTGAAATACCTCAGATATTTACATAATATTGAAGTGCTAATTTTAATGCAATAATAAACCCTCCCTCAAACTTCAGGGCGGGAGCTGTTCTGGGTAGTTAGGCTTTCAATACTTTAGGATTTGAGTCTTCCTAACACAGCCTTTTCCCTTATCCCTTCTGTAGGCGTTTTACAATTTCCTGACTCCTTTTCTGCAGAGGGTGTCACATCATTCAACCTTTCCGTGGTGACTTGCAGTTGCCATCCTGGCTCTCAACAACAGATGACACTCCCAGGACCCTCACAGGTATGTAAGGATGGCTCTCTGTGATCCAATGGCCTTGCTTTGCTGTCCCCTTGTCACCGTTCCTACACTTTTTGTCACCAGGCTTTCATTTGCTTTCCTCTTACCATGCTTTCTCCAGGCTTGGCAACTCTTCATTTGTTCCTTATAATCTGCTACTGACCAGAAAATGACTAGCCACCAGAGTCTTTCTTTTCAACATTTCCAAAGTGCTAGTCAGGTCCTCAGCACCGTGGTAGGTATAGCAGATATATAGAGGGATGAGCCATGGCTCTCCTACCCCTTACAAATCTCTTGTCTTTCCTGTTATTACATGTCCTTGATCAAATTTTGTAACCCAGATAGTTCTGGTTAGAGGGAAGAGGAGGAATGACAGTTACAATACGCTTTCTTTTTTTTTTATAATTTAATTTAATTTTACATATCAACCACGGATTCCCTTGTTCTCCCCCCTCCTGCCCCCCCACCTTCCCCCCAGCCCACCCCCCATTCCCATCTCCTCCAGGGCAAAGACTCCCCTGGGGATTGAGTTCAACCTGGTAGATTCAGTCCAGGCAGGTCCAGTCCCCTCCTCCCAGGCTGAGCCAAGTGTCCCTGTATAAGCCCCAGGTTTCAAACAGCCAGCTCATGCACTGAGGACAGGTCCCGGTCCCAGTGCCTGGATGCCTCCCAAACAGATCAAGCCAATCAACTGTCTCACCCATTCAGAGGGCCTGATCCAGTTGGGGGCCCCTCAGCCATTGGTTCATAGTTCATGTGTTTCCATTCGTTTGGCCATTTGTCCCTGTGCTTTTTCCAACCTTGGTCTCAACAATTCTCGCTCATACAAACCCTCCTCTTTCTCGCCAATTGGACTCCTGGAGCTCTAAGGCAATAATTGTTCGCTTAGTCTTCAAGCAAAAGACTAAACCTGACAGATAAAATGACAAAAGGCATTCTAGACAGATGGAATGGCAGGTGCAAATTATGAGGGGACACAAATTTATACAATTTTATGAAAGCCAGGAAGAAGTCTTCCTCCTGTGTGTGCATTTAGTTCTCAACAGAAAGGACTATGAATGCGTTTTAAGGATAAACGGTTTTACTATATTGTAATTATTTTCTAGGTTGTATTCAGGGTAAGTGGATTCTCTAAACAGTTGAGTGTTAGATGGGGGAAATGTAATGGAGTTAAGTGGTTTTAGTATGTAGAACATGTAAAGGAGATAATACTTTCTATTTGGAAGCCCAGGTAATTAAACATTCCAATCTACAGGAAAAAAAGCTTTCTGTTCCAAAATTGATAAACATTAGCAAAATTTCAAAAAGTACTTTAAACAACAGGAAAGCTTTTTTTCCCCTAAGGGAAATCATGTATCCCTTTATCTATTCACATTGTGTTTTTAAAGGCATTGCAATATTTAAAATAGTTACTTCAAGACTATATAGAAAGGTTCATTAAGAAATGACAATATTTTGACTACTAGAAGTATTTTAGGACTGGAGATGCAGCTCAGCAGAGTGCCTGCTTAGCATGTACAAGCCCTGAGTTCCACCCCCAGCACCATATTCAAATTTGGTGTGATGGTGCATATCTGTAATCCTAGTGCTCAGGAGGTGGAGTCTGGAAGATCACAAGTTTAAGGTCTTCCTCAATTCCTTATCAAGTTGGAGGCCAGCCTGGGCCACATGAAATCCTGTCTCAAAAGAAAGTTTAAAAAAAGGATTTGAATTCTAGAGCATAGAGAATAGTAATTTTTGAATAGTGGACATGCTGTGAGTTCAAAACTAGGTGAAAAATAAAAATTAGGGGGAGGGTTCATAGACTTCAGGAAAATGGCTGAACATGGAGGCAAACTTAGTGAATCTCCTCCCCCTGCCACCCCATCAAGATTTGTGAAATAACAGAGTCCATGCCACAATGAATATGAACAGAATGCAGATCCGAAGTAACAGACACAAAGTCCTTCAGTACATAACATATAAAAGGAATTTGACTCATTTTCTCTCATTCTCATGTTACTGGAAATGTTTCGCTGGAAAAGTATGTAAGATCAGAAGAACTTAACACAATTTAATTTCAGAGAGGAGTGTGATAGAGAGTGATTCTTAAAATACAACTATAATTGATGCTCATTTTTTTTTCAGAAGATAGTCCATGTCCCTGCTTGAGGCTCTACTCATAATCAAACTGAATGAAATGTCGTGTGTAACAGACAGCTATTTCGATAGTCATGGTTTAGAAAGCGTTTAAATTTAACATAAGCATCTGTTTTGTTTTCTTTTGTAAGATAGTGTCTTGCTATGTTGTCTAGGCTGGTCTCAAACTCAAAGCCACCTTCTTCCCTCAGCCTCCCCAGTGCTGGGATTCACGTGTACATCAGCACACCTGGCTTAACAGAAGTATTCGGAAGGGTGGCAATCTGACTTGAAGACTCCGTGCTAAAGGCTGTGCTTCATGTTGTTATTCTTCAGGAATGCACTGACCATGCTGGCAGGACAGAATGGAGAACTACACAATGTGCGAAACTAAGAGACCGAGGTAAACTCTGGGCAGCATCATGGGCTGGATTCTGTTGAAAAGAATAACTGAAGACCCCCCATACTGGGATCTTAATTAGCATCCACTTCTATACAGCAGTTCCTACTTTGACTTTCTTGTTTTCTACTATGGCACAGGAATTTTAAAAATCATGTTTTGCTTTGGTTAATAAGACAACCAGCCTATATTCTTAGCTATTTGCTCTTCAGAAATGCACAGGCTGGCAACTTCAGCAGGATTCTTTGATATATAGAAAATGGAAAATGGTAGGAAATTTAAACTTAGGCATGCTGTGACCCTAGAAGGTAAACTCATGCATACTAGAAATGACTTTATTTGTCCAGTTGAACTTCCAAAGCGTCTATGCTCCAAACGTTAACGTCTTTGTGCACTGTTCTTACATTGTGCTTCCTTGGGGCTTCTTCTCTGTGAATTGTTAGGGACAGTGGAGAAATCTACATGCACTTTCTGCAGTGCTGGCGCTGGAACCCAGTGCCGCATACACACATGCTAGACAAGTGCTCTGCACCAAACTACAAGCCCAGTCTTTTTTTTTTTTTTGAAACAGGGTTTCTTAGAGTAGTCCTGGCTGTCCTGGAACTCATTTCGTAGACCAGGCTGGCCACCAACTCGGAGATGTGCCTACCTCTGCCTCCTGAGTGATAGAATTAAAGGCGTGCGCCACCATCTCCCAGCCAGAGTCTATTTTTAAGGGACTAAATTTCTAGTTATGACAGCGGAGTTACTAAGTTGAAGACTATCTGATGGTGCTGGGTAGAATGGGGTGTGAAATGCTCAGCCTGGGTTAGTATCTAGTTTGAAATCTGACACCAACTTAAGAGTAAGCAGGTTTTGAAGGGGAAAATAAATATGTTAAAATGGTCTTACCTCCAGCGACCAGTCCAGATTCTCCTAACTGAATAGCTACTCCAAAGCCCCCAAGCTTAACAGGTGCCGAGTTTTCTTTTGAGGCGAGGAGAACACAGTGGGGCTGTCAAACAATCAAACCCAAAGGTAAGAATTAATGGAAAATAATAATTCCATTTACACAAAACTAAATAATACAATATAGCAATACTTAAAAAAATGTTGGAATTGGGTCAGCAAGATGGCTCAGAGGGTAGAGGTACTTACCCAAGTCTATCTCAAAACAAACAAACACCTAAATTAAATGGGATCCATGGACCATATATTGCTGTATTACAGAATATATTTCCCCTTCTAGTTTATTCTCTCCCCTCCCCAATTTTCAAGGTATTTATTTAAGATACTCAGTAATTTCCCCCACAAAAATCCCCTACAGTCTAGTGGTACCCACAGGGTTTATAATTTATGTTTTGTACTTTGCTGTATTTCATAGAGATTCATAGCTAGATCCAGAATCTCGATTAGAGTCAGGTTCAATTTCAGTTTTACGTACTGATACTTCATGTGGTTTAATTGTTATATCTCATCAGTAAGAACATGTCTGGATGCCCTGCTTTAGTTACAGGATTCAGCTGTAGGTTCAGGTGTTATTTGCCTGACCCATCATGAGATGTACTACCAACTGTTGACTTAATGATGTTAGCAGCCTCATTTCATAGATTCATACTTTGGTATCCTAAAAACTTAGAATCTGTAAAAATACTGAAGTAAAATTTACATAGCATGAAATGTGCACATCATAATATACTTTAGTGGGAAAAGATATTTAAATCTACAGGAGGCTCCCAAGCATATAGCTGATCAGTTATTATTGCTTTACTTTTCCAGTAGACAGAGTTTTAAGTGTGTACTTTATAGAAGGGGAAAAATACAAATTCACTCTTTTTTGACTATAAGGTTTTGACTTCTTTGATTTAGCAAGTAATTTTGGTGCCTAATAACAGTGATACAATTATTCATTTGCTCTGTCTATACCAGAGATTCTCAGCCTGTGGGTCATGACCCCCTTGGGGAATCACATATCAGATGTCCTGCAAATCAGATATTTACATCACAATTCATAAAAGTAGCAAAGAAATAATTTTACAGTTGGGGGTCACCACAATGAGGAACTGTATTAAAGGGTCACAGCATTAGGAAAGTTGAGGACCACTGGTCTATACATATAGGTGTTAAAATAATAATACCTACAGAAGCAGCAGCAAGATTAGTAACTATGTATGATTTCTTTGTGATTCTTTTTATCATTAAATTATATAAGATAAGTTCAGTCATAATATTTTTTCACTACTGAGCAAAATAAGAGGCTGTAAGTTCATACTGATACAAATAAATCAGGAAACAAACACATAGGGAGGAGAGGAGAGACCTTTCTCTGGCACAGAACTCAGAGATCCACCTGCCTCTGCCTCCCTAGTGCTGGGATTAAAGGTATGCGCCACCACACTCGGCAGAAATGCCTTTCCGTAAATAAGTAAATATAATATATATAATATATATATAATAAAAAAATATAATGTTGGAATCAGAAAATCACCATCAGCAGTTTTCATGAACATAATTGATCCAGGTAAGAATCTCCAAGGATGCTAACTAGTTGGGCAAAGTTTGAAGAGTGATAGGATATGTATATATTCTCCAAGTACCTCCCTACAACATACTTACTAATTACAAAAGGGGAATAGTAATATTTCAAGGGAGAGGCCTAGAAGAAACCAGCACATTGCTAATAATGGGACTTGGTCTCTGATACGATGCATTGAGAAGTCAGTGACACTCTCATGGTTTGTCCTTGACAAAGAGTGCAATTAGATCTAATCATGGAGAAAAGCCCAAGAGAGTCTAGAAAGTGGCAGGCTTATAGCTCTGGATTCAAGGGTTTCAGTGAAACTAAAGAAATATCACAGATAAATGTGATCTTGTTTTTATTTTTGCTCTAAAGGATACTATTAGGGCAACTGATGAAATTTGTAACAAGGATTGTCAAACATATAATGGTGTCTTTCAATGTAAATTTCCTGATTTTGATTACTGTACCACATAAATATAGCTTTTTTGTTAAGTCTAAATTTATGCCCCGAACCCCCCATCCTATTTTAAAGGCACCTACAATAACTTCTCCATGTGGTTATGCTTTCATTTTGTCATGTAATGAGGTTCATTTAGTTTAATTAGATTTGTACAGCTTGGTGTTTTAATTACACAAAACACGCCTGTACTTCCAAACTCAAAACTGCAAAACAAATAATACTCAGGGAGGTCTAGGTTCTGTCTTCTTTTACTACCCCACACTATCTCCCTCCTCGTTGGTAGGACATAAAAATAAGAAATAAAATACATACAAAATACCTGCATTTCCTGTAATGTGCCCTGAATATATAGAGGAGGTTCCTTTCTAACTGCTTCTATTTTCTTAGGGAAATGAAAAGCAACTAGCAGGTGAGAGTAGGGGAAGGAAATGGGGTTGCTGGCAGTTTGAGAAGGTTGAAGGTGTGAAACACTATTTTTGAAGGAGGATGAACTAGGGCAGTGACTCCCCAATTTTAGCACCAGCATTACCCAGATTGTTGGGCCTCATCCCTTGATTTCCTGGCTGTTGGGTCTGGATGAGGTTTAGAGTGTACATCTGTTACAAGCTTCTGAATTATTAATGCTACTGGTCTGGAAGTCATCCTTTGAGAATGCCTGGACTAAGGACATTGAGATTCACATTAAGGAGCACTGGCAGTCCAGGGGTCCACTTAAGATTTGATAGCCAATCTGAAGCCAGACCACTGTGTAGGATTCGTGTGCTTGTACCCAGCAGTCCTCATCTTCACTGGGGAGGTTCAGGCCTGGAGGAGGTGATGAGCTAAACTTCACTAGGGTTGGGTTTCACATAAAGAGGGGATGGTGACAAGCATTAAGTTCAGAATGAACAGGACAGGCTCATATAAAGAACTGGAAGATAATACTCAAATTTGATGGCAACCTTGCTGACTGACATTGAGGAGAAAATGAGGCTACAATATGAGAACACTAAAGTTTAAAAACAGGTGTGGGACAACATACAATACAGAAATAGTGTTTATATTGTATTTTAGGAGATAAAAAGAACTTTATGACTCATTTAGTCATGAAAAATCCTGCCAGGATTTTGAAGAGATATTTGCATATATATGTTTGTTGCAGCAGTATTCAGAATGGCCAATAAGTGGAGACAACCTATATGCCCACTGAAAGATAAGTGAATAAAGAAAATGAAATATAGCCAACCAATGGAATATACAACCTTAAGTATGAAGGAAAATTACGTTACACGCTATAGCATGGATGAACCTCAAGGATAATAGGCTAAGTAAAATAAACCAGTCACAAAAGGTTTATGTGTATGATTCTACTCAATGTCACAGAATCAAAGTTGCTAATGTTGAGACTAGGGGGAGAGAAAATAAGTACACAGTGGCTTGGAGTTCTAAGTTTGCAACATGATGATGTAAGTACACTTAGCACCACTGAACGATACACTCAAAACTAGTTACGTGGTAAATTCAGTGGTATGTGTCACTTACCACAGTAAGAAAAAAAAATACTGCCAAACAAATACAGTAAGCATCTTCTTTCTCAGAGATTCTCAGGGGGAAGTAAGAGTTTTAAAGTATTTTTATTCTAGCAATGTAAAATTGTTGTCTTGTGTATTAGATTCTTAACAAACTAAAAGCTCTGGAGAATATGATGTTCAGAAGAACATGCCCAAAAATACTTAAATGGTAGATGAAGCCCAATGAGTTAAACACTATTTAAACAAAGCTGCAGAATGACGATTATGCTCTAAACAACCAGCAAAAGGGGAAATGACACTTTAGCGCAGGGCAGCAGCTACACAGACCAATTGATGGTGGTTAAATAGTGGACTGGGACCAGAATGGAGGCTGCAGAGCCTCGGCGCATCTTCCTGGAGCTAGGAGAGACTGCTCCAGTTAACTTGGGTAAGTTTCTTGTTGTCATGAGGAGAGAATAGCACTGCAAACCCCACCTAGTCCTCAAGTTTTAAGGCTGTTTTATGAAATAAATCCAGGGTCTTAAAGGAAGACACGAAAGTATACTAAAATAAAATGTAGAGACCAAATAAAACTTCAGCAAAACTGAAGAGTAAAAAAGTTACCACCAATGGTAGTATAATTCAGGGCAGAAAGACCATTTTATGCCAGAAGCAACTTCCAGAATGAATTCCGAGGAGACAGAAATTCTAAAATCCATGTAGCAGATCACTCCTCATTTCTTAGGAAAAGGGAATCTGCTCATTTCTGCTTGTACTGGATAGCTTGTTGGCAGTTCAGATGACCCAAGCACTCCCTAGTTTAAGCTAGAAGGGACACATAGAGAAGAAGTTCAGCTTGGAGCTGTTGCTCAGAGTGGGGTCTTTTCACAGCTTCAAAAGGAGCCCCGGGGCTGTCACACTGAGAAAAGAAGGAAGGGGAAAAACAACTGCACCACATGTGAATATAAAGAAGAGTCGAGAACTCAGCAATTGCACCATCACCGGATGGAAGAGCCCAGCTGTCAGAGCCTACTCTAAGGAGCTTTGCCTTTACTCCTTGTACTTCACGAAAGCCTCAACTGTAAGTATCCTCTGGGACTTTTAAACTGCATACACGAACCCTTGTATAGTTAAAACCTGATTAGCTGAACACTCAAAGTGAAGCTCAGTGTATGCTGACAATGCTATTCTGATGTTAGCAAATCTTTGCTGTTTAGAGCCACTGAGTAAACTGCTCGGACAACACCTCCTCTTGGTTTGCAAACAAGGTTCTGTCGTTTTGGATAGGATATTTAATAACAATATAGTCATATCATTTATATGACATTGTATAGTGTCACAATGATTTATAGCTGTACTTGAATCAAATATTTTTTATTATATTATTACTATCTTATGGAACTTACCAGACCAATTAAAATTTAAGTTTTGTGTTTCGGAATAAATAAAGAAAAGAAAAAGAAACCACAATGTACTTTTCAAAAATAATTAATTCAAACAACTAAAATTAAAAGTGGACAGTTAAGTTTATAACAAAACTAAATATATTGCTAATCTCATTATTTCCCAAGTAACATGCTTTCAATTGTTGTTCTGTATGCAGCAATTACTGCAACAGCATGGCCTGAATATATTCAGTCATTATTATCAGCCTATTATCAAATAGGTATGTATTTCAACACATGATATTGATAGAAACAACACCTAAATTGTATTTTAAAAGCTATTTTCACCAGGTGGTGGTGGCACACGCCTTTAATCCCAGCACTTGGAAGGCAGAGCCAGGCGGATCTCTGTGAGTTTGAGGCCAGCCTGGTCTACAAAGCGAGTTCCAGGAAAGGCGCAAAGCTACAGAGAAACCCTGTCTCGAAAAACCAAAAAAAAAAAAAAAAAAAAAAAGCTATTTTCTTGGTTGTAGCCACTGAAGAAAAACTGGGAGAGATAGAATGGTGGCACTCGGGGGTATAAGTGCTCACACAGGGTTGCAAACATAAGAACGGGATTTGTTGAGAAACAAACACTACCTGCTATTAGAAAATGAATGCAACTACTGTATGAGTTACAAGTCAGGTCCACTATGTGAACAGAGCATATTCATTTTTTATTGTCTTCTCTGGAAAATTCTTAACAAATCAAACAAGTAGCCTTTGAAATATGAATAAACATCATTAATTCTTAAAATTTGAACTAATTCCTAATTCTAATTAGTGAAAGTTGGGGGGGCATGGTGGCTCACAGCTTTAATCTCAGCACTCAGGAGGCAGACGCAGGCAGAACTCTGTGAGTTCGAGGCCAGCCTGGTCTACAGAGTGAGTTCCAGGACAGCTAGGGCTACACAGAGAAAACCTGTCTTGAAAAACTAAAACATTTTTATAATGATGATGACAATGATGATAATAATAATAATAACAGTGAGTGAACAACACCAACATACCAGCTGATGTATAGCTAACTTAATTACTTTTTTACTTTTGCAGTATTGGAGATTGAACTCCAAGGGCTTTGTGCTTGTTAAGCAACTGCTCTACCATTTAGATGTGCTCCTGATCCTCTTTCAACTTGCTCTTTTGAGGTAGGGTCTCACTAAGTTAGACAGTATTGCTGTGAACTTGTGATTCTCTTGCCTGAGACTCCCAAGGAGCTGTAATTACAGACATACATGAGCCATAAAGCCCAGCGCCCGTGGCTGTTGAACATACTGCTTTTGCTTTATTCTCCTTCAACTTGACACTAACACAGTTCAAAAGACTTATTATTTTGTCTAACCATTATTAATTAATTAATTAATTATATTTGCATATTAGAATTGAGGAAATGGTTTCAGGATATGTTCTTTGTGCTATTATCTTCCTAGAAACAGCTTGATTATTGTTCTTTGACCTAGAAATAATTCTGAAAATTCTGATCAATGATTTGATTCTGTGAAATCTGGATTTATTTACATACTGTTATAGACCTAGCAAATGGAAAGATTAATAACTCTTTCAAAGGAGCAAAGCTAGATAGTACAATCTTTTCCTAAAACAACCAAGGTAGATAGTGGGAAAGGAATCATGCCAAACTACTATTGACTGATAGAATTCAACATTAATAAGGAAATGGTGATCAGCTATGATAGGAGTGAGGTTTGCTGAGGAGGTCCAGGGGTTATCAGAATTAGAGCTGAGTCCCAACTTGGGCACTGAAGAGCTCTGAGGTTATGGGTAAAGAGCCTACCTATGGCTTTTTCGTTACCTCACATAAAAAGACTATATAAAAGAAATTATATAATGTGTTCAAACAGTATCTGGATCACAGCAAGGGCTAAATAATGATTAATTAGTCATTTGACCATTTAGTTCAATTCAATTTTGACTCTACACACTGGACACCTCCCAAGAACTTTTAAAAGAAACCAGTGTACAAAATGCACTCCAGATAAACTATACAGGGTATAGTCTGGGAAGAAGCCAGACATTGGTGTCTTTAAAAAGCCTTCAAGGGGATGCTCATCCACAGATTTGAGAACTACTGAGAATCCCTCCTACAGAGTGGTACAGCTTCGAATTTCTAGTGCTGGGACTGTTAATACCTTCCAAGCTGGACTGTTTCATTCTACAAAAGCATTTACTCCCCAAGAGGCAATAGCTGTCCCTGCACTTTCTGTCACTGCTAAGAAAGGGAGACCCTCTTCTCCATGGCCTTGCGAAACACTCTCATCTATAGGTTAATGTGCCTATTTCTTTCAACTTATCCCTACGACATAATTTGAATCCCACTTCTCCCTGTTTGGTGCATGGTCTTTCTTAAGCATATCACTGAGGATGATTAAAAATTGATATTACAGGGGAGACTATCAGCCTGGGACAGAATCCAGGTCAACAGTAACTATTTTCATTTAAAACACTACAGATTTGTGAGTTAAACCAAGGATGGGGTTAGTTTTTGCTGCGGCTATAATCTATTGCTGACACAGCACAGGGAATGGTGTTTTTGTTCATTCAGTACTTGTACTTTTAACACTTTATGTCTACTTCTCACAAATTCCCTCTTTCATTCAGTAATATCTAGTGTGCTAAGCACCTGGACACAGAAGCAAACAAAACCAGACTTGAGTCTTGATCCTAATGGGGTTTAAAATATATCAGGAAGAAAAACTACTTATGGATGAGTATTCCAAGTCACTTCAGCTTCCTGAACTGTCACTCATATCACCTGAGTCTCAGCATCCTCTTGCCTATGGAGAGGATGTCTCTACCTAAGCCTCAGTGCTGCCTGTATAACCACACAACACAGGTTTCTTGCCCTCTTCCTGGCAAGGCATGTTGCATTATCAGCAACCTGCTACCCTTCCTAGATTGTCTCTTCATTTTAAGATGTTGGATCACAAGAAACATGCCTGCATGTTTCTACATTGTGAAATCTGTCTTCTTGCATCTGAGACACAGCACAGCCAGGCCTCAGTTCTTCCTTCATTCCTTCCTCCCAGTCCTTCTCTGTTTTTCCCTGCATGGTCCTAAATTGTGGAGACAGTTCTCAAGATGGCTTGACAGAACTTCCTCCTCACCAGCCACTTCCTCTTCCTTGGAACCAACTCCTTCGCTCTGTCAAAATTTAAAGCTGAATGCTACTTTCTATTAAAAGCCTGCACTTAACCAAAAATGTAATTTTAAGAGAGGCTACATTCTTCCAAATATTTTTCTCTCTCTATAACATCAAATCAAGAACTAACTAAGCAAAGACAAATGCTGCATGTTTCTTCTCATGGAAAGAATGTAGAAGCCATAAAAGCAGGAGGATGATGTGAGAGAAGAATGGGTCTAAGGAAGGGAACGGTGAGGTGAAGAAAAACAAGGACTGCATATTCTCTTTCATGTAGATTATAGAGTTACATATCTATTTGCCTATTTACTTATCGATCCGTAGGACAATAAAGCAGAGGGGTCCTACTGAGGGAGGGAAGCAAGGGGGAGTGGTGGGGGTGACTATGAGCAAAGTACGACGACAGACATACAGAAAATGTCATAGTTAGTGAAGCACATTCTGGATACTAACAAAAATGCTTGATTTAAAAAAGGAAGCAAAAATTGAAAAAATTATGGTGGTGTGATGTGCTCAATGGTAGAATATTCGCCTAGTATGTGTAAAGCTCTAGGTTCAATCCTCAGTACCATAAAACCATGACAACAAGAAGAAATTAATTATCATAATTAAGATCTACTCTTTATAGCTGGGCAGTGGTGCTATATGCGTTTAATCCCAGCACTCAGGAGGCAGAGGCAGGTAGATCTCTGAGTTCAAGAACAGCCTGGTCTAGAGTTCCAGGACAACCAGGGCTACACAGAGAAACCCTGTCTCAACCAAACCAAACCAAACCAAACCAAACCAAACCAAACCAAACCAAACCAAACCATCAAACTACTCTTTAGTACTGCATTTAGGGCTTGAACACACTCCTCTAAAAATGCTTACTGAGAACAGGGTCTCTTTCTTAATATGGTTAATATCCAATGTTGTTAATATTGGTCTTAATATCCAAGCAGTACTTACAAGAATGTGAAATGTTCAGATTGATCATTAGGTACCTAGTTTATTTTTCCTGAGACAGGGTTTCTCTGTGTAGCCCTGGCTGTCTTGGAACTCACTCTGTAGACCAGGCTGGCCTCAAACTCGCTGAAATTCACCTGCCTCTGTCTTCCGAGTGCTGAGATTAAAGGTGTGTGCCTGGCAAGGCACCTAGTTTTTTTTTTTCCAGTGTTGGGAACTGAACCAGGGATGCATACATACTAGACTAGTGTTCTATCACTGAGCTACAAGACCTAGGCTTGAAGCAACCTATTTTAAACACTTACTATGTATCAGGGTTAAGTGTTTCACATAAAAGCTTTGCATTTTTACAAACGAGAACAGAGGCTTAAAAAAGGTCATTTGTCCTTGATTATGAAGTTAGGTATGATTTTGAAAGTCCTGCTTTGAAGTATGTAATTTTCACTACATCCATGTATGTATGTATGTATGTATGTATGTATGTATGTGTGACACAAATGTGCCATCGCACACATCTGTAGGTCAGAGAACAACTTGTGGAGTCAGTTCTCTCCTTCTACCAAGTAGGTCCTGGGGATCAGGTTTAGGTAATTAGGCTTGGCAGAACATACCTTTACCCCACTAAGCCATCTCATCTGCCCTCTGCTATAAAGTCTTTATGTTACATCTATGAGGGGCCTTTACAGAAAACCAGGGCCGTTACTATAAGAAAGGAATGTGAGGAGACCTGCTTGAATTCGCCCTGCATATAATTAGGTCCCAACTGTCAAATGCCTGAGAATTGTCCAATAGCAAGTAGCACTGGGACCAAGTAGAATCGATAGATATACTTAGAAGGTTCTGGTGACAATCTCAAATGATATAATCCAGGGCATAATTAAAGTTTAATTAGTTAACTTCTCATAACCTTGGGCTCCATGTACTGCTTCCCATTTATATTACTGCCCTATGCTTCAAGGGTGGGAGTGGTTTATTGGCTGCTGTCTGGTCTAGTTTTATATGATCACTGTATTCTCCTGTGAAGGGCTATAGGAGTCTGTGAAAGGAGGCAGGTACCAGCCTTGGTCTGTTTTGGTAACTGTATATTTCCATAGATAAGTAATTTTTTTTTTTGGTTTTTTCGAGACAGGGTTTCTCTGTGTAGCTTTGCGCCTTTCCTAGGACTCACTTGGTAGCCCAGGCTGGCCTCGAACTCACAGAGATCCGCCTGGCTCTGCCTCCCGAGTGCTGGGATTAAAGGCGTGCGCCACCACCGCCCGGCCCAAGTAATTTTAATACTCCTATCTTGGTCTTAGGTAAAGGAAGAAATTTAGGATCTTCTTTTCTAGCCTCACTGTGGAAAGAGAGATCACTACAGCTTATCCAATATACACCATGTGGCAATGTATGTCAAAATGAATGGATGCTAACTGTAAGGGGAAGGGGCAGGACAGGAAGCATTTTTGAAGCTGAACAGGGTCAGCATGGGACCTAGCTCACCCATGGCAATAAGCACCTTTAGGGGAAATTGATTTTCATCCTTGAAAAATATGAGCTGCTGTTTCTTTGTACTATCTCTATTCCCATAACAATATTGCTAAGAAATGATGCTCATATGGTTCAATTATTCAGTTTTATATAATAAATGAAATGAACTCTGTACGTGTGTTATAGCAACAGAGAAGGTTAGAGAGATCCTACTGTATTTACTGTTGTTTTGTGATGCAAAACATTGTGATACACACATTGTGTAGATAGCCAAAGGGTCCCAAATAAGGTCTGAAATGAAATCCTTATTTATGCTTTGTGTTAAAGTAGCTGTTACTATTACAGCAACTGACTCAATGTTTGGCATTCTTTTGTAGGAAAATATGAAGAAATAAAGAAGTACACACGAAGAACATGTCATTTAGTACTCTGTTCTGATAGCTACAGAAGACACTGAGAAGTCCCTGTAACGATGACGACTACTTCAGCTGACAGCTGGCCCTGCTCCTCCTATGGAATGCACTTTATAACTAATTACAGTGACCAAGCCTCACAAAATTTCTCAGGAGTGCCAAATGTTACTAGCTGTCCAATGGATGAAAAGCTACTATCTACGGTGTTAACAACCTTCTACTCTGTTATTTTCATCGTGGGACTGGTTGGGAACATCATTGCCCTCTATGTATTTCTGGGCATCCACCGCAAAAGAAATTCCATTCAAATTTATCTACTTAATGTGGCCATTGCAGACCTTCTACTCATTTTCTGCCTCCCTTTCCGCATAATGTATCACATCAACCAAAATAAGTGGACACTAGGTGTGATTCTTTGCAAGGTTGTGGGGACACTATTTTACATGAACATGTACATTAGCATTATTTTGCTTGGGTTTATCAGTTTGGATCGCTATGTAAAAATTAATCGGTCTATACAACAAAGGAGGGCAATAACCACCAAGCAGAGTATTTATGTTTGCTGTATAGTATGGACAGTTGCTCTTGCTGGATTTTTAACTATGATCATTTTGACGCTGAAGAAAGGAGGGCACAATTCCACAATGTGTTTCCATTACAGAGATAGGCATAATGCAAAGGGAGAAGCAATTTTTAACTATGTTCTTGTGGTAATGTTCTGGCTTATTTTCCTATTGATAATCCTCTCCTATATGAAGATTGGCAAGAATCTACTTAGGATTTCTAAAAGGAGGTCAAAATTTCCTAATTCTGGCAAATATGCCACAACAGCCCGGAACTCCTTTATCGTACTCATCATTTTTACTATATGTTTTGTGCCTTACCATGCCTTTCGATTCATCTACATTTCTTCACAGCTAAACGTGTCTTCTTGCTACTGGAAGGAAATTGTTCACAAAACCAATGAGATCATGCTGGTTCTCTCCTCTTTCAACAGCTGCTTAGATCCAGTCATGTATTTCCTGATGTCCAGTAATATTCGCAAAATCATGTGTCAACTTCTTTTTAGGAGATTTCAGAGCGAAGCAAGCAGGAGTGAGAGCACTTCAGAATTTAAGCCAGGATATTCCCTGCATGACCTATCTGTGGCAGCCAAAATGCAGTGCAATACTAAGGGTATCTGAGGCAAATGTACTAAATGAAACGACAGACGTAAGCCAGATTCTTCATTCCTTGAGATCAGTAAAATTATGGAACAAAGCCCTAGAATGTCCCAAACCCTGATCTTTAGAAGTGATCTTTCACTTGCTTACATTATAAAATAGTTCCAGGCAAAGAGAAAAGCTTACATTTGTCCCTAGATTTTAGAACTATATGTAGAATCTTCTCAGAATATAATGTTAAGCTAACACTTTTAACAACATTTATAAAGTTAAGTGAAGTTCATGGATTTAATAACAAAATGAATGAAGTGTCATTGTTTTTCAAGTCACTAAAGAGTTAATAAAAATTAGGCACTTGATACTAATTTTAAATATGTTTAAAATAAAGCATTTCTGTGTTGAAATGTCAAAAAACCACGTTTGTTACTTCAAAAGTGAATATTTGCTGTATTCATTTATGTTTAAATCTCTGCTAACAAATGAATTAATAAAATTCTAATAAAAGTGAGACCACCCACTATCACTGCTTAGATAAAAATGGGAAGAATTTAAATACTAAATACATAAGCTAAGAATTTGATAGCCTAGCTAAAGGGACTGACTTAAAGCGAATTCATAAATTATTCATCCACCTCACACTCTGATAGAGGAAGAGGGTGCGCATGTGATGATGTGGCCCAGCAAATATAAGGTACAGCTCTTACAGAAGCATGCAAATACATACACAGGAACATATATACAATGATGTTCAGTTGTCATAACTGGGAACAATTAAGGATGTATCAGGAAAAGCATGAAGATGTAAACTGTGGTTTATTTACTACATGAAGTACCTTTAACACTTCAATGCAATAAAGTACACATACATGCATCAAACATGGGGATATCGCTGGAGAAATGTCAGAATCCTGGCTCCTCTTCCAGAAGACCTGTTTAATTCCCAGCACCCACATGGTAGCTCACCACCATCTGAAACTCAGGTTTGTGGGAATCTAACACCCTCTCCTGGCTTCCTGGGACAATGTACAAATGTGATGCACAGACATACATGCAAGCAAAACACCCATACACATAAAAAATAGTACTGAGTGAAAAAATAGTATTGAGTGAGAAAGAAAACCATATATAAGAGTAAATAATTTATGTGAAATCTTAAAACACTATCATTTTCTTTATGTACACATAATAAAAATTCAAAGCATGTATGATAATATACAACATCCATACCAATTTAAACTTAATGGTCACAGGTGAAGAATTTTGACATAAACATAGTAAGAGCTTAATGTGTATTAAACCCAGGTGCCTAAGTGTCACTTTGATAAACTTCTGAGTAAGAAATGTACAAGACTTTGTACATCTGCAGGTTAAAATTGAAAGGAGCAAACTGAAAACCTTATGTATGTTCAAAAACAAATAGCTTGGCAAGTCAGAAATCAGTAAATATTTCCAAGTAGTTCAATGAACAAAGGAAGAAAAGATAGATGAACAAAGAGGACGACGACGAGGAAAAGATGTTTAAAAGAAAAAAATGGGCATGCTTGGCCTTTTTCCAGTCATAGAGTGGAAGGAACACTGTACATTGCAATCTAGAGAGGAGGTATCTTTAGAGAAACTGCAAAAATTTGGCCAGTGTCTACCTTTTTTTTTTTTTTTTGCTGTACACAGAACCAGAATGCCATTGTCTGAATATGTAACAGGCCGTCATGACAAACTCCAAGAATCTATGGTATGTTTCTATCCCAGAATGTGGATTTTTTTTTTAAAAGTCCGGATGCTTCTGCAGTCTTCCAACAGAGCTATTTTGGCACCTAGATGATAATGACAATGATTACTACAGTTTTTTGTTTTGTTTTATTTTATTTTATTTTATTTTTTTGAGACGGAGTCTCACTATGTGGCCCTGGCTGTCCTGGAACTCACTACGTAGACCAAACTGGCCTTGAACTCACAGAGATCCACATGCCTTTGCCTCCCAAGTGCTGAGATTAAAGGTGCGTGTCATCACATTCAGCCTAGAATACTTCTTAAAACTCGTTAGGCCAAAGGCTGGGAAATCAATGTCAAAAAGCATTCAGTATTTAGAATGCGGTTAGGAATTATACTGGTTTAAGTAGTAGTAGGTTCTCCTCGAAAACCCATGATCTCACTAGCCCTGGAGAATTGCCTAGGTTTACAGCAGCAGACATGATCTCCTCCTGTTGATCAGGCCTTAAAGTCCAATTAGACAGCTGTTGGACACTGTACTATATATGTGTCACTCTGGCACCTTTAGAGACATCTTGCCATGCTGGTCATTATTGTGGCTCATAGGTGTCACAGCTGGGTAGGATTATTGGTTGCATCCCTCTCTTGGCAGCCTGTAAAGTACTTTCCAGTACTATGAAAGCCAGTCCTCAAGGAGAAAGCTTTCAGGTTAGATCCAGTGGGATTCTAAAAACCCCTTATCCCCCCCCCCCCCCCACACACGTGGCTTTACCCCCACCCCCAAAGAAGCTTCTTTTGTAGTAGATAGAGATGGATAGGTATAAGATATTATGGTAGATTATTATGTATACTAGTAAACAAATTTAGTAAAATAGTAGCCTTAAATAATTTGCACTGTAATTTGCACTGTTATGGGTTCTTATATGTTGATACAAATGTAAACTATTTTTATATTCCTGTTTAAGATAATTTGTATATTGATACAAATACGGAACTATATTTGTTATAATGTACATATATTTCTACTCTTATTTGAAATACTTGTATATTGATACAAATGTAAATTTATATCTGTCATACTTTATGTAGGTTCTACTTCTGTTTAGGATATTCGGTATATTGATATATATTTAAGATTATTGTCATATTGCATATCGCACTATATACAACTACCTCTGTTATAACATCTTGTGTATTGTCACAATTTTGAAGTCATCGTTCTTTACCATACACTTGCTTATAGACTGTTTACCTTGTTTACGTGAAGCCTTAGTCCTTAGGTTATTTCGGTAGATAAGACTTATAGATTTATAGTCACCTATGCTTGTCATCTCTATAGTTACGTTAGGTTATCCAGATTTACAGATACATAGGTCAGATGGACAGGTAATCTTCAAACACTTCATAGACCTAGAGAATATGGCATTTAAATAACTTAGAATTCTGTTGACGTGAGACACAATTGCTCCTGGCTGCACCATTTTGATCCCGAGAGAATGTTGGGCTTCTAAGACATTTCCATTTGGAAGTTTGTCTTCTTGGCACAAAATGGCCTACTGGGCAAAGAACTGCCCTTGCCTCGATGGCTGACAGTACTAATACAATGCTATCCTTTCTGAACAAGCGGGACACAAGGAAAGCGACCACTGTACTCTGCCAAGACAGGGTAAGATGGTCTTTCAGAATTCCTGCTTCTAAAAATGGTCTGTCAGATACTTTAGGCCTGTAGCCAATTTGAATGCACCAACAATGTTGAGAAACATTAGGTGACTGTCCAGGCTGCCAGCTGTCTCCGTCTACTCTTGCAAGATTCCCGAAAGTTGCTTGCATCCATCTACCATTTCTCAGGTACCATTATATTCCTTCTCAGGTCTTTGATGGGATTAAAGACTAACAGTTATAGTTACAACTTAGTAGATAGAACATATTAAGTATTAGATTCAGGTTCTTTAGGATAGGACACCTTTTGGAATGATCTTTGTAACATGCCATTTACCTATGCTCTATACTTCTCTGGACTTTAGTATGTGTTTCTTGCTTGATATTGTTTGCATTGGTTGTACTTCCATCTTATCTAGGTCATTATCCCTCATTATTCCTGGACAATATTTGATAACCATTCCTTTGTATATAGTCTTGTATTAGGTTAGAACTTTCTTATTTAGACAAATGTAGTGGGTAGCCATTCCAGCTTTGAGCTGGAAGTTCCAACCCCCATTGAGACTTCGGCAACTGTCACGCCTACAAGGTGGGGCCAAGGGAGGTGCCTGGGGACCCGAGATCTGGATCGGCGGGCGCTCGCGGTTGCGGGAACCTGGATAGTGGAGGTGGACCGAGCAGAGCTCCAGAGAACACCGCTGGACTGTGATACACCTTCCCCAGACCCCGTGACCTACCTATCCCTTAATTTGTAAGTTACGTCATTAAATAAATCTCCTTTTAACTACGTGGAGTGGCCTTAATAATTTCACCAATACACACACACACACACACACACACACACACACACACACACACACACACACACGTGGCTTTACCCCCACCCCCAAAGAAGCTTCTTTTGTAGTAGATAGAGATCATTACAAAAAGCATCATCTTGTCAAAATGCAGACAGCAGCAACTGATCATGGGCTGCCCAGCCCCAACTGATGTATCTACAACACAACCCCCACACCCTAAGGTTCAGGGAACATTGTGGAAGAGGGAAGTGAAAATATTTTAAGAACCAGAGGACCAGGAAATCTGCTGCAAGGTAGTATCTTCTAGATAGGACACAGAAGTTATACCTAAGAAATCTCAAGACTTGAAAAAGCAAGACTTGAATAATGACAACACCAGTTGACTTGCCAACATGGATGAGGAAAATGTCATAGGGCCATACCCCCAGATGAAATAAAATTCAGCCCAATTAAAAATCTTCATGCTTTTTTCTCACCTAAGTTATTTTTATTTTTGCAGTTTCTTAAAAATGTTATATCATTTCTCCTTCCCTCTTTCCTCTAACCCCTCTCATATTTCTACCTCGCTAATTACAGACAGCTAATGATTGTCAAGAGAGGGCAAACTAGTCTTCCTCAGGGAGGAGCCTCTAACTGGTTATCTAATAGTAAGTAATTAACCCTGAAATCATATACATATAAACAACACTAAACAGACACAGTGTATTTATACACATAGGCACTTATACATACATGTAACAATAATAATTAAATGAATAAGAGGGAGTGAGGTAGAGATATGAGAGGGGTTAGCAAAGAGGGAAGGAGAAATGTTATAACATTAATTTTAAGAGACTGCAAAAATAAAAATAACTTGGATGAGAAAAAGCATAAAGATTTTTGATTGGGCTGAACTTGATTTCAATGAGATTTGCTTGTAGGCACTCAGTTTCAGTGAGCATTATATTTCAGAACGTGCACAAACAGGCTGAATAAAGAATAGGTTAAGCAAAAGTATATTTGAAAATGAAGTTTTCAGTACCATTAGAGGCTTAGAAAAAGTGTTAAAACAATTTTAATTGTTGTTCTGACAATGGTATCAAATACTATCTAAATGAAATTTAGTACTTGTTTTAGAATTTTAAATAATGAAAAATTGGATCCTATCAGTGGCAAGCATTCCATACCTCTTAATGTACTATTAATAAACACAGTTTAAATATTATCAAGAGCTGTAGATATGGCCCAGTGGGTGTGCTGGCTAGTTTATGTCAACTTGACACAAGCTAGAGTCATCAGAGAGGAGGGAGCCTCAACTGAGAAAATGCCTCCAGAAGATGGGGCTGTAGGCAAACACGTAGGG